CCACAATGACTAGGAATCCACACAATCTCCACATCAAGCCCACTCTTATTACAATTTAGTATGAGTTCCTTAATTTTCAGTATTAATGGGGAGATGGAATTCATTTTAAATATATTGCTCTGTAATGACATTAGGCAGCTTTTTGAATCAGTAAATATAACTGACTTAGGAATTTTATGGGAAAGAATATAGGAAATAGCCTCATATATGGCTACAGCTTCCCCAGTAAAAACAGAAGCTTGAGGAGGACATCTATAATTAAGGACAATTTTGTATTTGGGGATCCAGACTGCGGAACCGACACATTTGAATGGAGACAATTTGGAAGCATCAGTAAAAATATATAGCCAATCAGACCATTTTTTTGCCACAAGGTTGTAGAAAGTTCTGTTTGCAGTGGGGGAATTTTTATTAATGTTTAAATTCAGAGTGATTTTAGGGTTTATTAATATAGCTTCATAGCTGGTTTCAAAATAGGGTAGAATTAGGGATGTTACACAAGGATAACCAATATTTTTTAATCTATTTAGAGATTTAAGAATAGGGGGCCAGCTTTTATTAAACCAGTAGGAGTTGTTTACAGCTAATAGTAGCAAGGATTCTAGTTTACGATGTAAGGGGTGAGATGATAGTTGTAGAGTTTTTGAGAGAAATCTATCAGCTAGAAACTGTCTTCGTAAAGAGAGAGGGGGATCAGCACATTCTACTTGTAAAGCATTTTTAGGAGTTGATTTCATTGCGCCTGTGATAATACGTAAACATCTTGTTTGGATAACATCAAGTCTATTAAGGGCCGATTTGTTGCAGGGCTCCAAAAGAAAAGAGCCATAGTCGAAGTGACTGCGGATGATGGCATTGTATAGGATTTTTTGACACATGGGGTGAGAACCCCACCATACGCCTGAAAGGGATCTAAGAATATTAACACCTTTCTCACATTTGTCACAGATGTAATTAAAGTGAGCAGTACCAGTCATATGACAATCTAAGAAAATACCTAAAAATTTTACTTTGTTAACAACTGGAATAGATTCACCATTATATGAGATATCAATAGTAGGGAAAACACGTTTTCTACTAAAGGTTATTGTTTTGCTTTTAGAAGCAGAAAGAGAGAGGCCATGGTCAGTAAGCCATTGATTAAGATAATATAAGCCTCTGTTAAGATGATGGGAGGCAGTTAGGATATCAGGAGCTGTTACATAGATAGCAAGATCATCTGCATATTGTAATATGTCACAGAAAGATGAAATCGAATGTTCAAGGTCATATGTGTAGATATTGTAAAGAATAGGGCTTAAGACCGAGCCCTGTGGTAGACCCTTCCAGATTGTTCTGGGCGAGGTTAACATTCCTTTATTGCGAATTTTGATAGATCGTCCCATGAACAGATTGTAAATGAAGTGTACAGTCTTCGCAGGGATGTTCAGATGAAGCATTTTCTGCCTGAGCACTGGAAGAAGAACACTGTCATAGGCAGATGATATGTCCAGGAAACAACCCACCAAGTATTCATTTTTAGAAAAGGCCAACCTAATATCTGTAGTTAGGATGCTCAAACTATCTCAAGTGCTTTTACCTTTACGAAAACCAAATTGACTTTTTGCAAGGATGTTATTATGTTCCAGAAACCATTCAAGTCTGTTTTTTATTAAATGTTCTAAAATTTTGCAAAAAGTAGATGAGAGTGCGATTGGGCGGTATGAAGAAGCTTCTTTGGGATCTTTTCCGGGTTTAAGGATAGGTATAACAATTTGGTTTGACCAAGACAGAGGAATATTAGATGATATGTAGATATTGTTCAGAATTTGGAGAAGAATTAATTTACCTTTAAGGCTTAATTTACATAAACACGCATAGGGTATGCCATCTTCTCCTGGAGAAGAGGATTTTAAGCCAGATAGCACAGACTGTAATTCGGACAATGAGAAGATTATCTCATTATTGTTGATGTAAGACGGGACTGGAATGGGTGGGCATATTGTATATTCATTAGGGACAAAAGGAGGAGCTAACATATCAGAGAAGACTTCTAACCATGGTAAAGAGTTATCAGAAATGTTGGAATCAGAAAGAAGGGAGCCACGAAATTTTTTTATATTTTTCCAAACTATTGTTACTGGTGAATTAGGGGACAAGGATTCACAGAATTTTTTCCATCCATTTTTTTTCTTTTTGGAAAGTAGTCTCCTTGTTTGAGCGGAGGTTTTTTGAAATTGTATAAAATTATCGGTTGTCATACAGTGATTATAAAGCTTTTCTGCAGCTTTTCTCCTTTTAATCATAGTGGTGCACTCAGCATCCCACCATGGAGGGGAGGATAGGTTCTTGCTGTGGGGTTTTTTGGATGGGATAAATAAGTCAGCTGCTTCAGTTATATATTGTACCAATAGAGAGTACGAAGTTATTGGGTTGGTTGAGAAGTCAACCTGCATTTGCGCAAATTTAGTATCTAAAAATTTAGTGAAATTAGTCCAATCTGCGTCTTGGAGCTTATATTTAAGGAGGGGCATAGTAAAGGGTAAAGGAATAACCGCATTGGGTTTGGTAATAAGAATGGGAAAGTGATCACTTCCATATGATTGATTGAGGGTTTTCCAAGAAAGCTGAGGGGCTAGACTAGGAGAACAAGCTGTTAGGTCGACAGCAGACCTAGGGTCTAGTCCTGGGTATACTCTATGAGTGGGGGAACCATTGTTGATAATGCAAGCATTAATGTCTTCAAAAATTTGTATAAGTTCTGAAGAGTATATGTCACAAAAATGTGACCCCCAAGATACATGATGTGAATTAAAATCACCGGTAATAATAAAAGGGGGAGGTAACAAAGAGAAGAGAGAGGATAGTTCTTGAATTAAGTGGGTATTTGGATGAGGGATATATATTGAAATAATGTTGATTCCTGCAATTTTTGCAGCTACGGCATTAATGTGTTGGCTATGAGGAGGGAGTGCAATTTGAGAGAAGGGTAGGGATTTTTTTATGAGTAAGCAACAACCACCATAACCATCATTTCTATCTTCACGGAGGCAAGTAAAGCCTTGCAAGCGAAATTTGGAGTTAGGTAGGAACCATGTTTCTGAAATTGAAGCAACAGAAATTGAATGTTTATTTATTAGGAAGATGAGTTCAGATTTTTTAGGTTGCAAGCTTCTACAGTTCCATTGAAGGAGATGGAGGTCTTTTGTTTGAGTCATTTATATTATCTATTAAACTAGCTAAATTAAAGATTTTTTCTGCAACGTTGTTCGGTAGTGAATCTGACATTTTCAAAATTAAATTATTGAGGAGGGAAATTAGGCATTCAACAAGATTTTCATTTGGAGATATTTGGTTGTGCGTGTTGGATAAAGCGCATCCATTTGGAGTAGAGGATGGGCAGTCTGCAACTATTCTTTGATGAGCTTGTTGGTCATACCCCATGGGAATTCTAGGTATGGGGCGGGGAGGTTTGAAGATGGTTTTTCTATATGCCTGTGACATGGTGGGGAGGTTGAAGGAAGTAGTAGGAGTAGGTGGAAGCTGAGTAGAGGCCACTTCGGAATACGGTTTTTGAGGATTGTTCAATCGGATAGATGGGATTTTGGCTGAACCTTCTGTATAGGATATATTTTGTTCTGACATCATAACTTTGATAGAAATCTGCCTTTGGTGTTCCGGACAGTTTTTGTTATTAGCAAAATGATTTTTGGAGCGTAACAGACAAGTGGCTTCACTTTCAGGAACAGAACAACTTGCTCCAGTATGCTCTTGGGCACAACGGAAGCAGCGTGGTTTAGAACGGCATTGATCTGCTATGTGGCCAAATCGACAACAGTGTTTGCACTGGATGGAGGGGAGTTGATAAGTTTCAACAGCAAGGGATGTGTAAAATGCATATATATATTTGGGGAGTAACTGACCTTCAAATGTCAGAACAATAGATTGAGTGGGAACCCATATTGGGGATGTTGACCCTTCAGCAAAAGTCTTTCTCTGAAGACGGCGAGCTTTTAGGATTTTACCACAACCAGGAGGAAGCTCAACAGCTTCTGCTAGTTCTTCCATTGACCAATCCACAGGGATACCGCGGATGACACCCATTCGAGAAACATTATAGGATGGAATAGTTGCAATCAATTTTTCTTTTGCAAGCATTGGATTATTAAGAAATTTGTTAGCCTCATCGGCTGAGCAGAATTCAATAGAGATGCGATTTCTGCCAACGCTTTTGACTCCCCCTCTTTTGATGTTTTCTATTTTATTTTTAGACAAGCATAAACCTATTTTAATTGGTCGAAGTGATAGCCCTATTCTAGGATCTGACGTAGCCCGGGAGATGTGGACAATAAAAGGGCCTTGGTCGTTTGGACCATACATTCTAAGATTTTGTTCTAGGCAGGGATGTTTATATATTGTGTTTATTGACGCTGTTAAATCAATTACAGAATTCTTTTTATATATTACTGGATCAAATGATCGAGTCTCAGCGTGTCTTTTTTTACCACGGCCACAATCATTATTGTCACTTACTCCAAAGCACATGTCTCCATCGGGAGGGTCAGGGGGTTTCTCACGAGGAGACCCCGTTTCGTCACCCATAATTGGGTTTAATGTTCGAAATAACTATATCTTATAAACGTAGTCTACTTACAGCAGAGGAATCCACCACCACAAAATAAGGAAATTAAGGAAAATTAACCAAATACCGAAAAGCACTCACAAGTACGTGTTAACCATTCGACCGTTGGCCATAGACCATTAAATATTTTTAAGTGTTGGTAGCACTGGTCAATTGTCAAATGTAAAAAAAAAAATCTATCATTACAAATTTACAAGGCACAAGCAAAAACAACATCAAAAGAATAAACTTACATATTGTTAAGGATAATATTTATTTTATTTGTGTTATTTCAGTTTTGTTATTATAGTTAAAGTTGGATAAAATATAAAATTTTAAGAATGTTAATTTAAGTCTAATATTACTTATTATTGATTTAATGTTTTTATAACAAACAAAAATGGTTGTAAATGCACCAGAAACTCCTATACAAGCCGAAATAATATTTGTTATAGAAGCTACAGCAGCAAATAGTGCCTATATAAGTGAATTAAAAACAAATTATATAGTGCCAACGCTAGAGTAAGTGTTTATATATTTGACAAAATATAATCATAGATTTCAAACAAATTACATATATATCGCCTTTTGTAAGTGCAGTATGCAGTCTTGGGCATCTCACGGACAATGCTTACCGAAGATTGTATACAAGAAGATATGCCTCTGCTTTAATCTTTAATATTAACTGACTTAGTTTTGTAGTCCACCACACTTTTAAAATAGAAACTTAAAACATTACTAAGTCTATTACTGTAACAGAGACCTCCACATATACAATGTGTTACTTCATGTACAACATTAAATGAAAATGCATATTGAATATTACTATTGTAAATAATTACTTTACTGTCATATACATTTTCTGAATAAGCTGTATTAAAAATCACAAAGGAGGGGTAAATTAATAGGATCATGGATAATATTAATATGATATATAAGTATTAAAGAAATGACAAAAAAGAAATTTTCTATTTGTACACAATATGAGGATTCCATCCACTTAGTCAGTGATACTGTCAGTGTTTTGCCAGCAACATAAATGTATATCAATAATTGCATTTTTGCAATACTTGCATAATTAAACATCTATCTACTTGTTATAATAACTTGTTAAAACTTATCATGAATAATAAACATGGTCAATAACAATTTAATTACTAAATTTTGCTAAGGAACTGATTTTTCACATAAAAGAGGCTTAAACTCAAGACTCAAACTAAGGGCAACACAGTTGATACTTAGAGCATGTACTTATTAGTGAATTGTTATATTATCATCAAACCGTATAACTTTTGCACACACTGCCTGCTCTGCACCACCACTGGTAGATCATGTGTCCAAAGGAACCTGATATATATTTCCACTTTAGGTATTAACACATTACAAATGAAGTTTATGCTGTATTATATTTTATAAATTGGGATTTTAAGTGGTATTGTTTGTTTTAAAATTAAATTTTTAATTGATTCATTTTACAACATTACTATAAATAAGCACTACATGTCTATTGTCATTTTATGTCTTACTTTTTATCCCCGTTTCTTGGCCTGCACGGTTTGTGTGTCAGCCATGCAGTATCATACTTAGTGCGAAACATTTTATTGTGACAAAACAAAACAATACCAATATTTTATCCCATGGGGTAGGAAAAGTCTTTAAAATAGTTTAGTAACAAAGAGTTGAAAAAACCACTTATCCCTTGTACTGTAACTTTTGCAATAATGATGTTCTACTATGTAGAGTCTCTACCTGCACAGGACAGGATTATAGTGCCAGAGTGTATGTGCAAGGTCAAGTTGACTCTCTATTTCCTCACTCTATTAGTGCGATGGGACAGCAAACTGACACAACCAAAGAGTGATCGGGTGCAGGGTACCTACGGCTTTACATGCTGTCCAAGGCACGTGTGTAAAACACCGCCACCTTCCTGACTCCAGATTGCTATTGAGAATTTCTCGACAGAAAACCCAATAACTAATTTGGACCTGACTCGGGATTCAAAACTGCAACCTCATGATCAGTCACCTCGTTTACGACCACTACACAAACGAGGCAAAATTCCACATATGATAAGGAATGATGGAAACCAAAGGAAACTGCTTGCTCGGGACCATGTGTTAATGTATTTAAACTTTAATTATTATTACTATTCAACTGGTATGTATAAATATAAAACATTAACATATCATATAATGACATTCTATAGATGAAAAATATTAAATACAAGTGATCCATCCCAGCTTTGCACAAGTGATTTCTGTATCTCGACAACAACACCACCTACCGGGTCCAAATGTGAATCTAAACCATCTAGGGACCCATTCAAACACACATAAAATCAAAATCAATCGAGCCATTTTTGAGTTTTAGTGACGAACTAACTAGACTTTAGAAGCAGAAGATTAAGTATAATTGTATCATAATATTATAAAAACAGTGTATAAATACTAAATTTTTTTAGTTATCTGGATATATTACTTTGTTTGTTATACACATTTTAATATCCCCTTAACATTTTTAGATATTTCCATGGTGGTGCCCTGGAAGAAGGTGCTGGCAGTGGTTCAGTATATGGCATAGTTGCATACAAGGCAGCTGATTGTCATCCGGGTCCTCCCGTTTTAACCTTTGGTCCCTTAACATGCCCTCAAAATGTAATTGAAACTGTGGATAAAATACAGTAAGTATTGTATTAGAGGGTAATGCAGCAGCAAATTTTTTTTAAGAAGATGAATTTTGCATTTCATGTCTAAAAGTAGATTGACAACTAGGATTTTGATTTAGGTGTCTATGGGCCACAGCATCCACTTACCATTAAGGCCAGCCAAATACATACGGAATTCCGTTTCGTGATACTGTATGAATTTGTGAAGAACCAAAGAACAGCGACAAATGATTATGGTCCACTTAGGCCGGTCACATACATACGGAATTCCGAACGGGTTGGCCACACACATACGGTATGCCGTTTTGCCCGCACACGTACGGTAGTTTTCCATTCGAAATTTTGAGGGCAAAATGGGATTCCGTATGTGTCTGTATGTATGTGGCTGGCCTAAGTGGACCATAATCATTTGTCAACGTTCTTTCATAAAAAGATAAAGGTTGCTATAGCGCCGCGTCTACAGGTGGCAAGGACTTTGAAGTACATTATATTAGTTAGTGGATTGTACCACTATGTACAAGATGTATTCTAAAAGTGAGTGATATTTTTTTCTTACAAAATGCATTAAAATTTCGATACATTTTTTTTGTTTAATTTGTTTAGGTATTTAGTAGGTAACATACAGTAATTGAATACAAAACTAATAAATACTACTAAATTTTGTAATATTTTAGGTTAAGTATCCATCTGTGCTCCCGTGCCAGGAGCCCATGTCATTTTGGCCATCCTACCACTCCATTGTTATGTCACTGGAAGGCCAATGGAGTCCATTGTAGTAATATCTAGTGCTAAAATCTAATGGCATAAACTTTTGAAAAACAAATTGTTAATGATTTATTTTCCATATATTTTGATGAAATGCCTTGTTGCTAGTAATTGAATCTGTAATAAATCTATAATGTATTAATTAGAAACTAATTATGATTATAAAGATAAGACGTTACTTTGCGGAAATCCATTATAATAAAGATGATAAAAATTAATTACCTAAAATCCTCGTAATAAAATTCCCTAAATAAATTTTAAAAAAATCCCTAAATGTCCTACCTATTTTGAAACTAGGTAATTTTACCTAGTTTCAAGCTAGTTGTTTTGAATCTAGGTAAGACACATCTCTTTATTTTATTTAGCGGATATTAGCTAATTATTTTTTATCATCTATAATAGAAACTAATTAATTCATGCAAACTTGTACCATGATGATGGGTCTTTGTTATATACTTAAATTTATTTTAGATACATAGGCGGTCATGCTGAGAATCGTGCTTGTGTGACTGAGGCCCTGACAACAGCACTAGCGTGCTTTGATGAGTTGGGTCGCACGGATTTACCAATACATATATTATTGTTATGTTGCTCGCCGCCTTATTCTGCATATGCTGGAGGATTGGTTCCACCAGGTAAGCTATTCTCCATTATTTTGTATAGTCCTCTTCGGACATGAGGCACAACCTCAAATAGAATTTGTAATTACCACCATGCTTGACAGGTGCTTTAGCGATTGCACTTCCATAAATTTTGCAAATCTAGCTTTAGTAAGCTATAATTATTTTCTGCAGTAATTAGAACTTTATTAGTTTTGGGGTTGAGGTCATCTTAAATGTTTATTGCAATATTTAGCAGCAGCAAGAATATTATGTTCCTTAGTTATAGGCAAACTGAAATGTAAAGTATAGTAAAACATTTAGAGAATTTAACTATATATATAATACATTACTTAAGTTGGTTTATAGTTCATGGGGTTATTATTAGTACAATCACTTGTAGCCATGGAGTTATATGTACTATGTACTAGACTAGGAACGATTAGTGATTCTTTAAAAAAAACGCGGAAGCGGGCGGAGTGCGGTTATTTCCCTTACAAACTAGACCCAAATATGGCCGAAGAACTAATGTTTTTGCATCACCATCTTCCTCTCTTAAATTTTAAATATTAGTAATAATAATTTCTATTATAGATTCGTTCGTTCGTTCTAAATATTTCTGCTGCTTCTCATGTCCCTGATGTTTTAATGTGTCTAGTATAATAATAATGCTAAAAACTGGCTTTTCGACTTTGTTTTTCTCTGGAATATAATTAAGGCCCCAGTACTCGGTACTCGGCCGTTAATACTCGGTTCTCGGCCGTACCCTAAAAAAGGCCGAATCCGCCGAGTACCGAATCCAAACCGAGTACTCGTCCCATATCTACTACGTACTAGAGAAGCCATTCTAAACAAAAAATGTGCACTGCTCTATTCGCGCATGCGCGGGAGATAGTAGAGTCGCGCATGAGCAGCTGATTTAATCGCGTTGCGCCTGCGCGGTCAGTTTTTAATTAAAACTTTAATTTGAAATCCAAAGAGAATATAATCACTATATTAAAATCTTGTATTATTAGCGCCGCTCCACACTGCATGTATATTGAAACCACAGACTAACTAGTAGATGGAAACCACACTAAATGGCACACTGTACGGATTGCAGTACAGTTCAGTTGAACATAGTGTATGTTTGGAATGCGAAATCTAGTACGTAGTGCATATATATTAATGCTTGTAGCCAAGTTTGTATATGTTGTGTAGTGTACACACACAATAAATACAGAGAACCCCTCTAAATCCGCCTATGTCTGTGTGTGTGTGTGTGTGTGTGTGTGCTAGTGTACTAGTTTAGTAAGAGGTGACAGAGAAAATTTAAAGAGGAGTTTGGCAACGGCATCTTCCTGATAACAATTCAAAACAATAAATAATTTCGTTGCCACCCCGACTGTCATGCATGGCTATTATGGCAAATACCAAATGTGGAAAGATTTTTCTTAATAGCCACATTGTTCAAATACCATCAGACGTCACGCACCTTTGACGCAGTTTACCTTCTTCATTCTGGATATTTTACATTTCATATAGTACTTTTTAATATTACATTTGCAACATTTAAAAAAAAGGTTAAAAAGGAGTTATTTCATAAACATAAGTCTTTTTAGGCCGAATGTCTGTATGTTTATTCTGTAATAAAGTATTTTTATTTAACACATATAGACTGTAAAGAGAGTTACCACTAATACATAATTAAGCACGATGTGCCTGTGACCAAAATATAGCCAAAACAGCAGGGACTGTCTGAAAAACAGTGCTGAGCATAATGCCCAGCGAATACTGAGCCTGTGCCCGTTGCCTCACATTATTATTTACGTGGTAAAGCCATGCTGCAGCTATATTAATAGTATAGTTGTAGCACGAATGGGTCGGCTCGACCGGGGAAGGACCACGCTCTCACGTAATACCAGCGTAAAATAGCAGCTTAATGCTGCTGTGTTTCGTATGGTGAGTGTAGAGAACCAGAGACCCATTTTACTGGAAAAGAGGCATTCCATCTTAGTCCTCAAGGCTGACAACGCATCTGCATTTTAATTCACAAACGAGGATAGATGCAGATGTCTATGGGCCACAGCAACCACTTACCATCAGGTGGACTGTGTGCTCGTTTGTCACCCTAATTCTATAAAAAAAAATTTATAATCGTATACTTTAGTAATAGTAGTAACTAGTAGTAGTTAAACTGTTAATTGTGAATGTTCATTTTGTTTTATAGAATTTTTAAGTCTAATTATTTTTATGTGTATACTTACTTTGTTTTCATTTGTAAACTTATTATTGTATGGCAATAAATATTTATTATTATTATTTATTATATATTATATAAGATGGTATACTAACATCTATTGGAAGCCTTTCTGACCTTATGAACGCCAGTATAAATAAAGTGCTAAATAACGCGACTGCTAACTCGGAACTCCCGCAGATTGATGATTAAAGATTGATTTTGTGTCAATAATTTTGGCGGCTCCGTGGCGCAGTGCCTTAGCAATGAGTTGCAGTGCTTGTGGGGGGGGGGGGGGGGGATCGAATCCCGCACGGAGTATGTATTTGTTTGGCCTACAAATGATTGTTCCGGATCTTGATGTTTGTTCTCATGCAATTTATGTTCGTAAAATGTTTTCACAATACAAGAGAAAAGCCTAGTGTGGGGGTAACATAAAAAAAAGAAAGAAATTAAACGCAGTGTTACCCTTGTTTAGATACCTATTGGCGCTCACGTAACTGGTTGCCTTACCGGTGAATGTTAGCGAACTTTTAAGTTATAGATATGCGAATAGGCACATTCTGAACGTAATCTATATCCAGCAGTGAATAAAGGAAGGGTGTGAAAAAAGAGCCAATACTCAGACTTACCTTGTTTGTCATTATATAAAAAAGTTGTCACTAATTGCTTACAGTATCACTGTCCTCAAGACTGATATCGGATCTGCAACGCAACCCTAAAATGGCGACAGGTCATCACGTTGTAATGACGTTCAAAAACATGAAGTTGTCAGTAAATCCAACATTATAATTATCAGGATATACGCATAGTTAAAGTTACAGCTTATATATATGACCCTTGCTGGGCACAGGCCTCCTCTAATATCTGAGAGGGCAAGGAAATGTCCGCCGTGCTGCATTATGCGTGTTGGCGAACTTCACATGTTTTCCAAATATTTTTTCTTATTTCTCAGACATGCAGGTTTCCTTACAAAGTTTTCCTTCACCGTCGAGCATTTGGTAAATCATATCTTAAAATTGCAATTAACAATTTCATTGGTGCCGGCGAGAATCGAACCCGGGTTGCTCGCATACTGTGAAATTTACCGCCAGTGCTTAGTTACTAAGCTACCACAGCTAATATGCATAGTTTTAACAAAAAAAATGTTGCAAAGGTGCTCCAGCGACCATAGAGCAAGCAGCTCGTTTAGTGGCCGAGCGAGGTGCACAACTTTCTATAGCATCTGCGAAGCGGTTGCCCGCTTTGATGGCACTCTATGAGCATGCAGGCGGCGAAATTCATCAAGCACAACAGAGGAACTATGCCAAGGTAAGAACTGGTAATGGCGTTAGTACGACAACAGACTGAGTGCTCGGATGTGTCGGTTGGCACAAGTGCTTAGATCTTCATGTTGTTCCGGTTATACAGACGGCGTTGGAGCTGTTAGTGGTTCAAAAGTGAACTATTTTATCATCATCATTATCATTATTACAGCCCTTCACAAGTCCACTGCTGAACATAGGCCTCCCCCAAGGAATGCCACAAAGCACGGTCCTGAGCCACCTGCATCCATCGACTTCCTGGATGTCTTACCAGGTCGTCACTCCCATCTAGTGGGGCGACGCCCTACACTTCGCCTGCCGGTACGAGACTGCCACTCACTCGAGAACCTTTCTTCCCCATCGGTTATCGGTTCTTCGAGCTATATGGCCGGCCCATTGCCACTTCAGCATACTAATTCTTTGGGCTATGTCGGTTACTCTGGTTCTATTGCGGGTATCCTTGTTTTTAAGTCACGCAGAGAAACACCGAGCATTGCACATTCCATAGCTCGCTGAGCGATTTTGAGTTTCTTCATATGGCCAGCAGTGAAGGACCACGTCTCAGATCCGTAAGTTATCACTGGCAACACGCACTGGTTGAACAATCTAGTTTTGAGGTCTGAGGTATATCTAACAAAGATAGGTCGTGATCTCCCGAACGCTGCCCAGATGAGTTGAATTCGTCGATTGACCTCTCGGTCGAAGTTGGACTTACCTGGTCGGACAATTTGCCCCAGGTAAACATATTCGTCAACAACTTCGAGCTTAGTGCTCCCAACAACTACCGGCACAGGTGTGACATAGAAGTTAAACATGATTTTTGTTTTGTCCATGTTCATCTTAAGACCTATCCGTTGGGAGTAACTATTGAGGTCATTGAGCATAGTGCTTAGGTCCTCCAGCGATTCTGCCATAAGGACTATATCGTCGGCAAATCGAAGGTGAGAGTGATGTACTCGCCATTGATGTTGATACCTTATCCTTTCCAGTCCAGTAGTTTGAAACCGTCTTCCAATGTAGCTGTGAAGAGTTTCGGGGATATTACGTCACCCTGTCTTACACCTCTCTGCAGTTGGATAGGTTTCGTACTCTGGTTCTGCACTCGGATAGCCATCGTAGCCCTACTGTACAAACACTTCAATACTTCGATATATCAACAGTCCACTTGGCACCCTGGAGGGATTGCAGCACCGCCCAAATTTCGACGGAATCAAAGGCTTTCTCATAGTCCACATACGCAAGACAAAGTGGCAGATTGTACTCTTCGGTTTTCGGTACAATTTGCCGAAGGGTATGTATGTGGTCTATGGTGCTAAAGCCTTTTCGGAAACCAACTTGTTCGGGAGGCTAGAAGTCGTTGAGTCTGCGTGCGAGACGATTCGTAATGTCTATCGAAAACAGCACGTAGACGCGGCTCAGAAGGGAAATCGGTCTGTAGTTTTTCAAGAGAGCGTTGTCGCCTTTCTTGAAGAACAAGACCACCGCACTTGTACTCCACGCCTCTGGTGTAGTGCTACCATGGAGGACGGAATTCAAGAGGTTCTGCAGGACTAAGTACCGGTTTTCCGGCCGCTTTCAGAAGCTCTGCTGTAATTCCATCCCCGCCTGGGGCCTTGCCGTTTTTAAGGTGCTGGAGAGCCATTCTAATCTCGCTCAGACTGACGTCCGGGATATCATCGGAATAGTGTCGGATAAGACTTGTTCTTGGATCGCCCATAGAACCTCTCAACCTCACTCAAAATCTGAGGTGTCTCGGAAACGATGACGCCACATTCGTTCTTCAGCTTCGACAGTTGGCACTTTCTGGCAGACAGATCTCTGGCAAAGACTGGAGCCCTAATTCCGCTCGATCGCTTCTTCAATACGAGCAGTATTAAAGTTGCGTAAGTCCCGCCGCATGCGTTTAGAGATCTGTCTGTTCAGTTGCCTGTATGCTATCAAATCTACTGAAGACTGCAACTTCATTTCCCGTCTAACAGCCATGAGATTAAGATTGTGATCGGAGAGTTTTTGTGTTCTTCTGTGGCGGGTCTTGCAACTTAGCTCCGACAGCATGGACAGTTTCTACGACCTTGTCATTTTTATCGTCCACTACATTGCAATCTAGAAGATTGCAATGCACTGAAAACGATTTTGTAATTCGAGCTGAAACTATTTTATTTATATATTTTATGTGGTAGAGCCATGCTGCAAATATAGTAATAGTATAGTTGTAGCACGAATGGGTCGGCTCGACCGGGGAAGGACCACGCTCTCACAGAATACCAGCGTAAAATAGCAGCTTAATGCTGCTGTGTTTCGTATGGTGAGTGTAGAGAACCGGAGACCCTTTTTACTGGAACAGAGGCGTTCTATCTTAGTCCTCACGGCTGACAACGCATCTGCATTTTAATTTGCAAACGAAGATAGATATAGATGTCTATGGGCCACATCAACCACTTACCATCAGGTGGACTGTTTGCTTGTTGGTCACCCTTATTTTATAAAAAAAAATATATTAATTTAATTTAACTTGGTACTTACTAATTTATATCATGTCTTTTTAATGATTTAGGTTATGTTTGCAACCGGATATATTTTATTGTTATTAAAATTAAACCTACCTTTCTACCCGATTTATTCATAATCCATCAAATATTTATCATATTTAGAACTAGCTGTTCCCCTGCGACTTCGCCCGCGTGGCATTTTTTTTGTGCAGAACCCTAAAATAAAAGTAGCCTGAATTACTACTTGTAACATCAGCTATCTGCCAGTGAAAGTCCCATCCGAATCGGTTCACAGGTTTTTGCGTGATGCGTGTTCAGACAAACATCGCGTTAGAGTTTTATTATAGTATACATTTTAGAGGTATGAACGAACCGGTTATCTTATTCATGTATATGAACATTTCCAAACGTCACGTGTGGCGTACGTCAATCAAACACGGTGTCCTGGCAAGTGCTGACTTTATTTTTATTCTACAAGTACCATCACATCCTTCTCTCCTCAAATAAACAAATAGCTTCCTTCGCACAGGTTTACTTATCTGACATAGCTACACAGTAATTATACTTGAATAAAAAAAATTCATTAAACACAAATTTGTAAACGTGTAAATTATACGCTGAAATTATATTCCTTCTTTTATATATATTAGTTTTTAAATCATTCTTACTTAAAATTAACATGCATTTTTTTTATATAATTACAAGATCATAATATGTTTTATTAAAAACATCAATGAATTCTATTTTCAGTAGGTCCAACCCATTTCACAATACTGATTTGAGATTGTTTTTTAATAATTTAATTATTGCTTTAACAAAATTGAAAAAAAAATTGAACTAATGAAATGAAAAAATTCTGCAAATTCTTTATTTGAAGTAATTGCAACACCAGTTTATGAAGTAATAAATAGGTAAATAAAATATGAATACAATGATACTCTCATTGTAATGGAGGACCTAAGCACTATGCTCAATGACCTCAATAGTGTCTCCCAACGGATAGGTCTTAAGATGAACATGGACAAAACAAAAATCATGTTTAACGTCCATGTCACACTTATGCCGGTAGTTGTTGGGAACACTAAGCTCGAAGTTGTTGACGAGTATGTTTACCTGGGACAAATGTCCGATTAGGTAAGTCCAACTTCGACCGAGAGGTCAGTCCTTCCGCGGTAGACTTCAGAATAATGTTCTTTAATGTTTGAACGGTCCGTTCAACTTGTCCTCCCTTAACAATCTTTCTCCAATACTCGCGCTAGTCACACCACAGATCAGTCTATCCTTTATTAGACTATCACATAATTCACCAAATTCGCAAGTTTGGGATAATTTTCGCAACTCAAATTGATCGATTGTTTCTTTTTGTTTTTGATCTCGTGTGAAAAACTTATGCCACTCAACCGTAACGTTTCTTGTAACCTTAAAATATCGGTCCAATAATGTCACACACACTCTCAGCTGTTACGTATTTTTCCGAAAACTGGTCTAAAATGTCTTGACACTGTTCCTCAAGCACATGTAGTAATATATTTAGTTGAATAGATACACTTTTCTTATCAATCTCGCAGGCTTTGCAATATATAATATAACTATTGCGCCATTTTGTCCAACTTTCACTTAAACTTCCAGAGGTCGAATCTATTGCGTTTCTGTTAAAACAAAATGGAGGTGGAGGCGTTAAGACACTTTCCATTTTTAATACGTGCACTCGTACTTGTTACTATTACACCGATAATAAACTAATTAATCTTATTAACTTTTTTATGTATCTAATTAACAACGAATCTTCGCTTCGTTTTAAACTTGAAATTACCGGCTGCGCCATGTCACGTGTGGCGTACGTCAATCAAACACGGTGTCCTGGTAAGTACTGACTTTATTTTTATTTTACAAGTACCATCACAATGATTCCCTTTGGTGCACAGTACAATGCTATACGTAGGCTTTTCCCAACACTTGCCACAAAGTATGGTCCGGAAAATATGTACATCTATGGACTGTGGACTACATGCACTTCAGGTTGTCGTTCTATCTAGTGGATGATTGGTTGTGATCCCTCTATGTCGTTATCCAGCGGTTGATCGGTTATGGTAGCTCTGCAGTGTGATTGGCGATATATGGTTGCCACATGAAAATATTGTTTTCTAACATGCTATTCTTATTCCAAACACTCAATATTTCACTAATATGTGGTCGTATTGTTGTTTACATTAGAAAATAGAAACAGAAATAATTATCTCAGGGACGAAACCTATGTAGATAAACTTGGAAAATAAAACATTATCTAAATACAAAATTTCATCTAAATCGTTGGAACCTTTTCTGTGAAATCAATTGCATATATACATATATACAAAAATTACTCTCATTTTTTAACAGTGAGTCCCATTAGAGCTGCAATTAATATTGTAACAATTACTTATTTTAATTACAAGTATTATTAAAAATATTATCCTAGAATTTAACCATTTTCTCAGGATCCGCGCCACCTAGTGTTACTGCGAGGATACAGTTTGAAGGAGAGACCGCCCAGCCCAGCCCCGCCGCCTGCCCCGGACATTCAACCAGACATGTATGGGTGAGTTGTCTTATCGGAGCGTGTAGAATTAGAAATCGTTAAGTTTTTCTACGGTAGGAATTAAAAAACCCCTTTGTCAGATATAAATTTCCGTGCATGGATATAGTTTATAGCAGTGGCGAAACTAGGGCTCCTAATTAGGGAAAGCCCAAGATATGGTTTTGTTGTTTTAGCAGTTTTATAAAGATGCACCAATCCTGATCTATCTCCAATCTTAGTTTCATATTCAGTGCTGTCGAGGACGTACTTAGCAAAGCACACAGAAGGCATACTACTGCTAGATAGATTGTATGACTATATGCATACCTTCGGTGGCTTTGAAAAAAGCCGTTTGGGTTTGCTTGAGCGAAAGATAAATATATTTACATACAATATAACACATGAACCATAGAAAAGCATGAACAAAGTACAAACACACAAAATTAAAAAAAAACAATATTTTTTTATATTCTACTAAGCCAGCGCTTATCTATGATACCACCTGATGGTAAGTGGTGATGTAGCCTAAGATGGTGAAGCGCACTGACTTAACAAAAGCCTATTCACTCTTGCCTTGAAGACACCCACACTGTAATCGGATGGAAAGACAGATGCTGGCAACTTATTCCACTCCTTTGCTGCACGCATGATGAACGACGTGGCGAACCGTTTGGTTCGAATGCGTGGTATGTCAACAACGAAAGGGTGGAGACTGGCCGAACGTCTGGTTGTCCGATAGTGGAAGGAGAGGGTGGAATTAAATTATGTAATTCCTGCGCACACTCTGAAATGCATCCTGTAGAAAACCGAAAGGCTGGCTACTTTACGTCGGTGTTCGAGGCTGGTAAGATTGGTTTTAACCAAATTCGGGTCACCAATAAGCCTCTTAGCACGCCTTTCCATTGAGTCCAAAGCGGCTAGGTGGCATTTTGCAGCACCAGCCCATATATGGCAGCAATACTCCATGCACGACCGGACTTGCGCTTTATATAAAGTAAGCAGCTGTCCCGGCGTGAAGTATCGCCGCACTTTTGCAAGGACTCCCAGCTTCCTTGCAGCTGCTTTGGCCTTGGACTCAATGAACCGCCCGAAGTTCAAATTTGAGGATATATCAAACCCTTACAACTGAAGGCGGTCGGTATATTTCAGTGATACATTTCGGAAAGAAGGTGCCAAGGTGAGCTGGCTCCTCTTTGCAGTGAAGAGACACGCTTGTGTTTTGGAGGCGTTGAACTTCACAAGATTGGCATCGCCCCAATCGGCGACTGCCTGTAATGTGAGATTCACACGCTCTACCATAGCTTCTCTTTCGGACTGGATTTGATCCCGACTGACCCGATTTATATTCTAATAATAATAATAATAATAAATATTTATTTCCACACAATAATAAGTTTACAAAGTAAGTATACACATAAAAATGATTAGACTTAAAAAATTTATAAAAAAAATGAACATTCACAATTAACAGTTTAACTACTATTACTAAAGTATACGATTATAATGTGAGGCAACGGGCACAGGCTCGGTATTCGCTGGGCATTATGCTCAGCACTGTTTTTCAGCCAGTCTCTGCTGCTTTGGGTATATTTTGGTCGCACGTACATCGTACCTTAATTATGTATTGTTGGTAAACTTCTTTACAGTCAATATCTAAATCTAAATCGAATCGTCTCTTTTTCTTAAAGAAATATTTGATTACGTCCGCGTAAAATGTTGTTGAACGTTTTAGTTGTACTAACAATTGTTTATGTAGATATGAGCTGTTTTTTCTCAACAAAGGTTAAATATTTTACCTTTTCCTCGCTGATTAGCACTTTAACAAACTTAAGTTCATCACAAGGAACACTATTATCCTCCATATTCATTAAAATTTTTTAAAAAAAGCATTAAAGTAAACACACAGAGTAAACATTGAAATGTGAAGTGAAGTTGCAAACTTATCGCCCGGGCGCCCCCGCCAAAGAATATAATAAGTATATACAGGAAGCCCCCGCGCCCGACTGCTTCACTCCAAAAGCAGGGCTTTTGGCTCCATACTTATTGCTATATAAACAATCGTAGTTATATTTCATTATAGAACATTTTGCCACGGGAAAGAAAGGGAGTGATCGTCTTGTCGAAAGCCCGGTAAAGAGACCACGAGTGCGTGAGAGACAACTAATCGCTCAAATCAACTCCTTTTGTATGACAGCAGTATTGCGTAGTTTTGACGCGACGATTAATGTATTGTGTAGAACAGAGGACCGCGCGGGAAATTTGAAATAGTTTGAAACAGTTTATTAGTTATTTTATTAGTTGATATTATTGATTGAGCAGTTTAATAGGGCAAGCCCGCCTTCTCGGATTCTATGGAGGCTTCGCTACCGGTTTATAGGCCGGATAGTGTTAGATTTTTACATGTACCGTGTGTACCGTCAGCAGTGTGGTGCCCCGGCGTCCTCGCGTGCCTATATAGTTTATAGGCAGTATAGTGTGAATTCTGTAAGTGCAGTTGTGGTGTGCAGGCAGCAGCGCGGCGGCCTGGGCGCGGCGGGCGGGGCGGGCGCGGCGGGCGGGCCGCGGGCCGTGGCGGGCGCGTACCCGCGCGCGGCGGCCGTGCGCGCGGGCTGGCTGGCGCCGCTGGCGCAGCGGCAGCCGGTCTACGCCAACAACTCCGCGCTGCTCACGCAGCTCGCGCAGCCCTCCTACCCGCCGCCGCCGCCCGCACACGCCGCACAGGTCACTCACCATACATTAACTAAAAACCTTCATTCGCTTCAATTGACATATTAATGGTAATAACAAACTACTTATGTTATAAACTTTTCTTAAATCTGAAATTTCAGGATAAACAGCACAGATTACTCCTGGCATTGCTCGCTATGTGATCGTAAAGTTTCGGTTTATCGGTTCAGCCATTCCGAAGATTAACCGGAACAGATAAACACACTTTTTAAAATTATTATCTATTTTCTTTTATAGAATAAGGGTGACAAGCGAGCACGCAGTCCACCTGAGCCCATAGACATCTATATCTATCCTCGTTTGCGAATAAAATGCATATGCGCCGTCAGCCGTAAGGACTAAGACGATATACCTCTTTTCCAGTAAAAAGGGTTTCCGGTAGAGAGCATTCACCAAACGAAACACAGCAGCATTAAACTGCTATTTTACGCTGGTATTCTGTGAAAGCATGGTCCTTCCTCGGTCAAGCCGACACATTCGTACTACAACTATACTATTAATATAGCTACAGCATACCGCCTAAATATATATCTATGTCTCAATAACATTCAAATATTACAAACAGACACTTCAATTTTATTTATATATGTATAAATTATAAATTTCATATATAACGTTCATGTCACACCAAAATTGTTAATGAATATATTTCCCTGGCTTTCTCATTTCAATCAAAGCCTTTGATTCCGTCGAAATTTGGGCGGTGCTGCAGTCCCTTCAGCGGTGCCAAGTTGACTGTCGGTATATCGAAGTGTTGAAGTGCTTGTACAGTAGGGCTACGATGGCTATCCGAGTACAGAACCAGAGTACGAAACCTATCCAATTGCAGAGAGGTGTAAGACAGGGTGACGTCATATCCCCGAAACTCTTCACCGCTGCATTGGAAGACGTTTTCAAGCTTCTGGACTGGAAAGGATACGGTATCAACATCAATGGCGAGTACATCACTCACCTTCGATTTGCCGACGATATAGTCCTTATGGCAGAATCGCTGGAGGACCTAAGCACTATGCTCAATGACCTCGATAGTGTTTCCCAACGGATAGGTCTTAAGATGAACATGGACAAAACAAAGATCATGTTTAATGTCCATGTCACACCTATGCCGGTAGTTGTTGGGAACACTAAGCTCGAAGTTGTTGACGAGTATGTTTACCTGGGACAAATAGTCCGACTAGGTAAGTCCAACTTCGACCGAGAGGTCAATCGACGGATTCAACTCGGCTGGGCAGCTTTCGGGAAGCTACGACACATCTTCTCGTCAGACATACCTCAAAACCTGAAAACGAAATTGTACAACCAGTGCGTGTTGCCAGTAATGACTTATGGAACTGAGACGTGGTCCTTCACTGCTGGCCGTATGAGGAAGCTCAAGGTCGCTCAGCGAGCTATGGAGAGGGCTATGCTCGGAGTTTCTCTGCGTGATAAACTTAGGAATGAGGATATCCGCAGTAGAACCAGAGTAACCGACATAGCCCAACGGATTAGTAAGCTGAAGTGGCAGTGGGCCGGCCATATAGCTCGAAGAACCGACAACCGATGGGGAAGAAAGGTTCTTGAGTGGCAGCCTCGTACCGGTAGGCGAAGTGTAGGGCGTCCCCCCACGAGATGGAGTGACGACCTGGTAAGACATGCAGGAAGTCGATGGATGCAGGTGGCTCAGGACCGTGCTTTGTGGCATTCTTTGGGGGAGGCCTATGTTCAGCAGTGGACTTGTGAAGGGCTGTAATGATGAATGATGATGATGATATTTCCCTGTGATATATTGTACGGCTAGGTAAGTCCAACTTTGACCAAGAGGTCTATCGACGAAATCGACTCCACATAGCGGCACCGTTCAGGAAATCACGCCACATCTTCTCGTCACATATACCTCAAAACTTGAAAACGAAATTGTACAACCAGCACATATTGCCAGTAATGACATGAATTTAAAACGTAATCCTTCTTTACTGGCTGTATAACGAAGCTCGAGATTGCCCAGCAAGTGTCAAATTTCTCTGCGTAATAATCTTAGAAATAAGGACATCCGCAATAGAACCAGAGTAACCAACATAGCGCAACGGATCAATAAGCTGAAGTGGCAATGGACTGGCCATATAAGCTCGAAGAATTGACAACCGATGGAGAAGAAATATTCTCAAGTAGCAGCCTCATACGGATATGCGAAGAATAGGGCGGTTCCCACTAGATAGAGTGACGTTCTGGTAAGGCCAGCAGGAAATCGATAGATGCAGGATCGTGCTTTGTGGCATTCCTTATAGGAAACCTATGTTCAGCAGTGAACTTATAAATAAAAAACCATAACGTTAAAAGTATTTCAATGAAGGATAAATGATGAGAGAGATATCCACGTCATTTTCTGACGAATTTTGAATTGACGAATTAAATTTGAAGCGTATGGTGACACTATATCACAAATAATTTCACTATAATTTATAGAATCAGGCGTTACTTTGCGGAAATCCATTATATAAAAGCTTTTAGAAAAATTTACTTCGCAAATATCTGCGTTATAAAATAAAATGATGTGCCTTACCTAGTATAAAGAGCACCTCCCGCCCTCCCTCAATTGCGTGCACTATCCCCGTCACCACTAATCCCAGCACCGCTACTCCCAACACCACTACACTAGGCAAGACATACCACTGACGACAATACGACACGTGTTTCGCCGCTCCACGAGGCATCCTCAGGTGATATAGACTCTACGGTGGCTAACCGCTAAGTGAGCGGCGAGCCAAAACAACTGCCTTTTATACAGACCGATGACGCAACCGCTCTCTAAGGAGCGAGCGGTTGCGTCAACGGTCTGTATAACCGCTCTCTAAGGAGCATGCCATAATTATAGTGCACGAGTGTACTCTGCACAGGTGCATTCTTTATTCCCTCACTCTCATATCTCCGATGGAATGGTGATACGCCACGTGCTTTCTGAGGTACAGAGGTGAAACACCGCTAACTTCCTGGGGCCGTTACTGAGAACTTTTTGACAGAAAATCCTATAACTAATTTTACCCCGATATGGGATTTGAACCTCAGGATCAACAATTGCGCTTAGAACAACGAGGCAGTCAACAATTCTCACAGTCATACTCAGTGCCAAGTACCCAATCCGTAACAATATAATATATTATACTCAGTGGCGAAGCTAGGGCTCCAAACTAGGGCAAGCTCAAGATATGGTTTTGTTGTTTTTAGCAGTTTTATAAAAATACACTAATCTTGATCTGTCTCCACTTCAGTTTCATATTCAGTGCTGTCGAGGACGTGTTTAACAAAGCACACAGAAGGCATACTACTACTAGATAGATTGTATGACATATCAGCAATTACATACCTTCGGTGTCTTTGAAAAAAGCTGTTTGGGTTTGCTTCAGCGAAAGAAAAAGATATTTACATACAATACAATACATGAACAAAAGAAAAGCAAGAATAAAGTACAAACTATATACTAAATTAAAAAAAAATAATTTATATTCTAAATCGAATCGTCTCTCTTTCTTAAGAAAAGATGTGATTACGCCTGCGTAAAATGTTGATGAACGTTTTAATTGTACTAATAACTATTAATGTGAATATGAGCTGTTTTTTCTGAACAAAGTTTAAAGATTTTACCTTTCCCTCGCAGATTAGCACATTAACACACTTCAATTCATCACAAGGAACACTATTATCCTCGAATTTCACTAAAAATCTTTAAAAAAGCATTAAAGAAAACACACAAAGTAAACACTGAAATATGAAGTGAAGTTGGAAACATCGCTCGCGCGCCCCCGCGCTTGAATAACTTCATACCTAAAGCCAGGCTTATGGCTCCATATTAATTGCTATATAAACAATCGTAGTTATATTTCATTATAGAACATTTTGCCACAGGTTAGAAATGGAGCGATTGTCTTCTCGAAAGCCCGGTAAAAAGTCCAAGCGTGCGAGAGAGACGATTAATTGCTCAACTGAACTCCTTTTTTATGACAGCAGTATTTATGTGAATATGAGCTGTTTTTTTCGGGAAATTTGAAATGGTTTGAAACAGTTTACAAGTTATTTTATAAGTTGATATTATTGATTGAGCAGTTTGATAGGGCAAGCCCAGCTTCTCGGCTTCTATGGAAGCTTCGCTATCGATTATACGTTCTTAATTGTATAAAATTCTCATTACGTTCACAATTAGAGTACGCCGGTTCAATTTGGAGTTCCTTCCACAAAAAATATAATTTTAAATGGTACAAAACAATTTTTAACGGAATATCTATTATATGTGTTACCATTCTAGAATTTCATACATGCAATTATCAAAATGGTATAAACTACTAAGTCTAATAGTTCTCATAATATGGCCTGCTTGGTTTGTGCAATAAACTGGCGCGTGGTGTAGGTGTTGGCTGGAGCGCGAGCGTCCTTCCCTCTCTTATAATCATTTATATAACTCACACTTCCCAGAATGAGACATGCTCTGTCATATACAAAGTTCAAAAGTATGACAACAATGTTGCTGACCGTTGCCGACTGACTATGATTCATTGGGTTTTTCTGTCAAGAAATTCTCAGAAGCAGTCCGGAGTTGACGTTGTTTCACCCCCATGCCTCGGAAAGTACACAAAGCCGTTGGCCCTGCGACTGATCTCTCTCTGATCGTATGGATTACCGTCCCATTGGACTATGAGAGTGAGGACAAAGAGTGTACCTGCGCTTACGTATACACTTGGGCACTATAATCCTGTACTGTGCTATGCTAGACTCTGTCGAGACTGGTCGTCGTGACCGAAATTTGGTCTCGAGGACCAAATTAGGAGTAGGAGTACATATAAGTTAATGCGTAACTGTTTTTCGTCCCAATAACATAAAATAAAAAATATCCAGGCGAATATGCAGCGCATGCCGGGAATGGTGGCGGGCCCGTCGGGTGCTGGGGCTGCGCCGCTGCAGCGCACGTACATCTGGAGCGGCGTGCTCGAGTGGATGGAGAAGGGCAAGGCGCCCGGCGACCAGCAGAAGGTCACCAAGCATCTGCCGTGTCAGGTGAGTAGAGCCGTGCCGCAGCTGTATATACCTGTAGCTGCAACGCACGTACATCTGGAGCGGCGTGCTCGAGTGGATGGAGAAGGGCAAGGCGCCCGGCGACCAGCAGAAGGTCACCAAGCATCTGCCGTGTCAGGTGAGTAGAGCCGTGCCGCAGCTGTATATACCTGTAGCTGCAACGCACGTACATCTGGAGCGGCGTGCTCGAGTGGATGGAGAAGGGCAAGGCGCCCGGCGACCAGCAGAAGGTCACCAAGCATCTGCCGTGTCAGGTGAGTAGAGCCGTGCCGCAGCTGTATATACCTGTAGCTGCAACGCACGTACATCTGGAGCGGCGTGCTCGAGTGGATGGAGAAGTGCAAGGCGCCCGGCGACCAGCAGAAGGTCACCAAGCATCTGCCGTGTCAGGTGAGTAGAGCCGTGCCGCAGCTGTATATACCTGTAGCTGCAACGCACGTACATCTGGAGCGGCGTGCTCGAGTGGATGGAGAAGGGCAAGGCGCCCGGCGACCAGCAGAAGGTCACCAAGCATCTGCCGTGTCAGGTGAGTAGAGCCGTGCCGCAGCTATATATACCTGTAGCTGCAACGCACGTACATCTGGAGCGGCGTGCTCGAGTGGATGGAGAAGGGCAAGGCGCCCGGCGACCAGCAGAAGGTCACCAAGCATCTGCCGTGTCAGGTGAGTAGAGCCGTGCCGCAGCTGTATATACCTGTAGCTGCAACGCACGTACATCTGGAGCGGCGTGCTCGAGTGGATGGAGAAGGGCAAGGCGCCCGGCGACCAGCAGAAGGTCACCAAGCATCTGCCGTGTCAGGTGAGTAGAGCCGTGCCGCAGCTGTATATACCTGTAGCTGCAACGCACGTACATCTGGAGCGGCGTGCTCGAGTGGATGGAGAAGGGCAAGGCGCCCGGCGACCAGCAGAAGGTCACCAAGCATCTGCCGTGTCAGGTGAGTAGAGCCGTGCCGCAGCTGTATATACCTGTAGCTGCAACGCACGTACATCTGGAGCGGCGTGCTCGAGTGGATGGAGAAGGGCAAGGCGCCCGGCGACCAGCAGAAGGTCACCAAGCATCTGCCGTGTCAGGTGAGTAGAGCCGTGCCGCAGCTGTATATACCTGTAGCTGCAACGCACGTACATCTGGAGCGGCGTGCTCGAGTGGATGGAGAAGGGCAAGGCGCCCGGCGACCAGCAGAAGGTCACCAAGCATCTGCCGTGTCAGGTGAGTAGAGCCGTGCCGCAGCTGTATATACCTGTAGCTGCAACGCACGTACATCTGGAGCGGCGTGCTCGAGTGGATGGAGAAGTGCAAGGCGCCCGGCGACCAGCAGAAGGTCACCAAGCATCTGCCGTGTCAGGTGAGTAGAGCCGTGCCGCAGCTGTATATACCTGTAGCTGCAACGCACGTACATCTGGAGCGGCGTGCTCGAGTGGATGGAGAAGGGCAAGGCGCCCGGCGACCAGCAGAAGGTCACCAAGCATCTGCCGTGTCAGGTGAGTAGAGCCGTGCCGCAGCTATATATACCTGTAGCTGCAACGCACGTACATCTGGAGCGGCGTGCTCGAGTGGATGGAGAAGGGCAAGGCGCCCGGCGACCAGCAGAAGGTCACCAAGCATCTGCCGTGTCAGGTGAGTAGAGCCGTGCCGCAGCTGTATATACCTGTAGCTGCAACGCACGTACATCTGGAGCGGCGTGCTCGAGTGGATGGAGAAGGGCAAGGCGCCCGGCGACCAGCAGAAGGTCACCAAGCATCTGCCGTGTCAGGTGAGTAGAGCCGTGCCGCAGCTGTATATACCTGTAGCTGCAACGCACGTACATCTGGAGCGGCGTGCTCGAGTGGATGGAGAAGGGCAAGGCGCCCGGCGACCAGCAGAAGGTCACCAAGTATCTGCCGTGTCAGGTGAGTAGAGCCGTGCCGCAGCTGTATATACCTGTAGCTGCAACGCACGTACATCTGGAGCGGCGTGCTCGAGTGGATGGAGAAGGGCAAGGCGCCCGGCGACCAGCAGAAGGTCACCAAGCATCTGCCGTGTCAGGTGAGTAGAGCCGTGCCGCAGCTGTATATACCTGTAGCTGCAACGCACGTACATCTGGAGCGGCGTGCTCGAGTGGATGGAGAAGGGCAAGGCGCCCGGCGACCAGCAGAAGGTCACCAAGCATCTGCCGTGTCAGGTTAGTAGAGCCGTGCCGCAGCTGTATATACCTGTAGCTGCAACGCACGTACATCTGGAGCGGCGTGCTCGAGTGGATGGAGAAGGGCAAGGCGCCCGGCGACCAGCAGAAGGTCACCAAGCATCTGCCGTGTCAGGTGAGTAGAGCCGTGCCGCAGCTGTATACTTGTACCTGCAGCGCACGTACATCTGGAGCGGCGTGATCGAGTGGATGGAGAATGGCAAGGCGCCCGGCGACCAGCAGAAGGTCACCAAGCATTTGCCGTGTCAGGTGAGTAGAGCCGTGCCGCAGCTGTATACTTGTAGCTGCAGCGCACATACATCTGGAGCGGCGTGATCGAGTGGATGGAGAAGGGCAAGGTGCCCGGCGACCAGCAGAAGGTCACCAAGCATCTGCCGTGTCAGGTGAGTAGAGCCGTGCCGCAGCTGTATACTTGTAGCTGCAGCGCACCTACATCTGGAGCGGCGTGCTCGAGTGGATGGAAAAGGGCAAGGCGCCCGGCGACCAGCAGAAGGTCACCAAGCATCTGCCGTGTCAGGTGAGTAGAGCCGTACCGCAGCTGTATACTAGTAGCTGCAGCGCACCTACATCTGGAGCGGCGTGCTCGAGTGGATGGAGAAGGGCAAGGCGCCCGGCGACTAGCAGAAGGTCACCAAGCATCTGCCGTGTCAGGTGAGTAGAGCCGTGCCGCAGTTGTATACTTGTACCTGCAGCGCACGTACATCTGGAGCGGCGTGATCGAGTGGATGGAGAAGGGCAAGGCGCCCGGCGACCAGCAGAAGGTCACCAAGCATTTGCCGTGTCAGGTGAGTAGAGCCGTGCCGCAGCTGTATACTTGTAGCTGCAGCGCACATACATCTGGAGCGGCGTGATCGAGTGGATGGAGAAGGGCAAGGCGCCCGGCGACCAGCAGGTCACCAAGCATCTGCCGTGTCAGGTGAGTAGAGCCGTGCCGCAGCTGTATACTTGTAGCTGCAGCGCACCTACATCTGGAGCGGCGTGCTCGTGTGGATGGAAAAGGGCAAGGCGCCCGGCGACCAGCAGAAGGTCACCAAGCATCTGCCGTGTCAGGTGAGTAGAGCCGTGCCGCAGCTGTATACTAGTAGCTGCAGCGCATCTACATCTGGAGCGGCGTGCTCGAGTGGATGGAGAAGGGCAAGGCGCCCGGCGACCAGCAGAAGGTCACCAAACATCTACCGTGTCAGGTGAGTAGAAGACTACTACAATGATAATGATGATGACGATGATGAAAACGTTGACAATTACGATGATAATGACCGTGACGATGACGTTAACAATGATGATGACATAGATAATGACGATGTGATGACGTTGACAATGACGACGACATAGACAAAGATAATGATGATGACAATGACGATGATGATGACGATTACAATGACGATGACGGTGACGATTACTATAACGGTGACGATGATGATGACGGTGACAATGACGTTGGCAATGACGATGGCGATGACGTTGACAATGACCACGATATGTCATTGTCATTGATAGGAAATGCCAGAAAAGTAATATGTCTTCGTGTAGATGGAAGCGGCTCCACAGGAAGTGGAGCTGGTCGAGCCCCGACGGTTCCACAAAAAATGAGATTGACTTCATTATGACGACCAGACGACAACTGTTCAGTGATGTCTCCGTGATCGCGAGGATGAAAACTGGTAGCGATCACCGAATGGTTAGAGGCACACTGTACCTAAAAGTTAAGTTGGAGAGGTCTCGTCTAATGAAGTCAGCGCTCCGTCCCCCTCCTGCTCTGTACCAAAGTTCCGAAACCTTTCAGCTCGAGTTACAAAACCGTTTTCAGTGCCTAGAAGACTGCAATGAAGTGGACGATATGAATGACAAGCTCGTGGAAACTGTCCATGCGGTCGGAGCTAAGTTCTGCAAGACCCGCCGCAGAAGAACACAAAAACTCTCCGATCACACTCTCAATCTCATAGCTGTTAGACGGGAGATGAAGCTACATTCTTCAACAGATTTGACAGCATACAGGCAACTGAACAGACAAATCTCCAAATGCATGCGGCGGGACTTACGCAACTTCAATACAGCTTATATTGCAGAAGCGATCGAGCGGAACCAAGGCTCCAAAGTCTTTGCCAGAGATCTGTCTGCCAGAAAGAGCCAACTGTCGAAGATGAAGACCGAGTGTGGCAGCATCGTTTCCGGGGCACCTGAGATTTTGAGTGCGATTGAGAGGTTCTATGGGCAGCTGTACACGTCATCGTTGGAGCCACACGCAAGTGTGAGTAACGATCCAAGAGCGAGTCTTATCCGACGTCAGTCTGAGCGAGATTAGAATGGCTCTACAACACCTTAAAAACAGCAAGGCCCCAGGCGAGGATGGAATTACAGCGGAGCTTCTGAAAGCGGGTGGAAGACCGGTACTTGAAGTCCTTCAGAAGCTCTTTAATTCCATCCTCCATGGTGGCATTACACCGGAGGAGTGAAGCAGAAGTGCGGTGGTCTTGTTCTTCAAGAAAGGTGACAACGCTCTCTTGAAGAACTACAGACCGATTTCCCTTCTGAGCCGGGTCTACGTGCTGTTTTCGAGAGTCATTACGAATCGTCTCGCGCGCAGACTTGACGACTTCCAGCCTCCCGAACAAGCCGGTTTCCAAAAGGGCTTTAGCACCATATACCACATACCCTTCGGCAAATTGTGCAGAAGTCTGAAGAGTACAATTTGCCACTATGTCTGGCGTATGTGGACTATGAGAAAGCCTTTGATTCCGTCGAAATTTGGGCGGTGCTGCAGTCCCTTCAGCTGTGCCAAGTTGACTGTCGGTATATCGAAGTGCTGAAGTGTTTGTACAGTAGGGCTACGATGGCTATCCGAGTACAGAACCAGAGTACGAAACCTATCCAATTGCTGAGGTGTAAGACAGGATGATGTTATATCCCCGAAACTCTTCACCGCTGCATTGGAAGACGTTTTCAAGCTACTGGACTGGAAAGGATACGGTATTAACATCAATGGCGAGTACATCACTCACCTTCGATTTGCCGACGATATAGTCCTTATGGCAGAATCGCTGGAGGACCTAAGCACCATGCTCAATGACCCCAATAGTGTTTCCCAACGAATAGGTCTTAGGATGAACATGGACAAAACAAAGATCATGTTTAATGTCCATGTCACACCTATGCCGGTAGTTGTTGGGAGCACTAAGCTCGAAGTTGTTGACGAGTATGTTTACCTAGGACAAATAGTCCGACTAGGTAAGTCGGGCAGCGTTCGGGAAACTAAGACACATCTTCTCGTCAGACATACCTCAAAACCTTAAAACGAAGTTGTACAACCAGTGCGTGTTGCCAGTGATGACTTACGGATCTGAGACGTGGTCCTTCACTGCTGGCCGTATGAGGAAGCTCAAGGTCGCTCAGCGAGCTATGGAGAGGGCTATGCTCGGGGTTTCTCTGCGTGATAAACTTAGAAATAAGTATATCCGCAGTAGAACCAGAGTAACCGACATAGCCCAACGGATTAGTATGCTGAAGTGGCAGTGGGCCGGCCATATAGCTCGAAGAACCGACAACCGATGGGGGAAGAAAGGTTCTTGAGTGGCAGCCTCGTACCGGTAGGCGAAGTGTAGGGCGACCCCCCACGAGATGGAGTGACAACCTGGTATGACATGCAGGAAGTCGATGGATGCAGGTAGCTCAGGACCGTGCTTTGTGGCATTCCTTGGGGGAGGCCTATGTTCAGCAGTGGACTTATGACAGGCTGTAATGATGATGATGAAGATGGCGGTATATCCATCTCATTTATTTCAGACAAAATACCCAGACCCGCGCCTAACAGCAGCGTCTAAGCTGCGAGAAGTTTGATACTGCGATTGTCACTCTACTTGCCAGACGTGACGATTAAAGGAAATCCTCCCTACAAGGTAGAGGTCTATCCAGCTGCTGTTTTACGCTGATATATTATGAGCAGCGGATCAGTAAGCTGAAGTGGCTGAAGTAGTCCGAAGAACCGACAACTAAAAGGAAGAAAGGTTCTCGATTGGTAGCCTCGTACTGGCGAGCTCAGTGTTGGGCGAACCCCCACTGAATGAAGTGACGGCCTGCTGAAACATGCAAGTTTTCTCATAAATGTTTTTTTTACACCACTTTTATTTATACCTGCAAACAACTTTAAGGAATACTGTTGTGTCACATCTGGGCGATACTACTAGGACGGAATGTACCCCACTTTATGGTAATCTATGGGAGAGGCCTATGTTCAGCAGTGAACTTGTGATGGTCTGTAGATATAATAATACTCGTAGTGTTGCTGTGTTCATTTGCTTCTGCATCGTAGCTCCATCTTTATAACTATTAATAATACCAAATAATTTGGAAATATTCTCTGTTATAGCTATAATTTTATCCCATCATATTCTTCTTCTTTTTCTTGATCACCTGGTCCATTAGCTTTTTTATAGAATAAGAGTGTCAAACGAGCACACAGCCCACCTGACGCTAAATGGATAGTGTAGCCTGTACATCTACATTTATCCCCTATTAAGAATCAAAATACAGATGCATTGTAACGCCTGAGAACTTAGATGGAAAGTCTCGTTTCTAGTAAAAAGGGTTTCCGGTTCTCTACACTTACCATATGAAACAGCAGCATTGAGCTGCTATTTTACGTTGATACTCTGTGAGAGGGTGGTCCTACCTCGTTTGAGCCAACCCATTCGTGCTACAACATAATATAGCTGCAGCAATTGCTCTACCACGTATAAATTATATACATTGGCTTTTTCTGTCACAGGGAATATTTGCCTTAATCCTTGTAGGGAAAATTGACGATCGCAGTACCAGACGTTACATCTTGATATTTTACCTTTGGCGTAAAACTAGGTGATCTGGAGCATATGACAGATGACATTATGCTATTTTTCTAGACAATATTCTTAAATATTAATCTAATTTTGACTACTTTCAGGTGTCAGCCAATTCAAAAGACATAGAGCCCGAGTTAAAGGTTGACACGTGGCCGAACAAGTTGCTGATGCAGTTGATGCCGAAGCAGCTCATCAGCAACATCGGAGGCCAGTATCTCAAGGACAGCAAGTCGGTGTTATTCCACTTGCAGCCCAATGAGGCGCTTGACGCTCTTACCAAGGTCATGGTCAACGGCTTTGTGAGTATTAGTAATATCATCTTTTACACATTTACAGTTCTTTAGGTTTAGAAAGAGTTACAAATGAATCAGTAGTCTTTCTGATAGACGTACATATGTGGAGTATGTGGCCTGGGCAGTCTATGCACGAAATGACGAAACATGCAGGTAGTCGATGAATGCAGGTGTCTCAGGACCAAGGTTTCCAGCAAACCGTGTGAGGCCTGTGTTCAGCCATGGCACAAGTTTAGCAAAAGCACAAATTAGCTTTAATCATTAATGTCTTATTGAATTTCTGCAGTTATTTTTTGGTCCCCATATCTATAACGCAGAAGCCTGGAAAAAGGCAAGAATTGAAGTACTCTCCAGCAGACAGCCAAGTTCAATTTCTGCAATCTTTAACACTACAAGTGGTAAAATAAAAAAAAATGTACAACCGACTTCAATATAAATTATTAAGAATTACTCAAAAACTACTGGTCAGATCTTGATCAAATGTATATGGGACTACATGATAAGCACCAGCTTTCAAATCAAAATGGGATCATCTAGAAAAAATTTATGAGGTAACACACATAAAAAAAAATGCTGTCGAATTGAGTACCTCCTTCTTTTTAAGTAGGTAGAAAACTATAAAAATGTATGAAATAAACGTTAATTCATTAACTTAGTTCACGCATGTTGAGATATGTTACTCCCGATAATTTTTATAGTTTTTGTTTTTAGTGAAATAAGATAGAATGTTTCCTTACTTATTACGATTTACTGATTACAATATTCTGTGACAGCGTGTTTCCCTCCTTATCGAGCTAAACCATTTGTGCTCCAACTATAATAGAGGTGTTGCATGGTTCTACCACGTTGCTCTATCTATAAGAGCGTACAAGTTTTTTCTACTTACACAAAGTTTTAGTGTCAGTTGAACGCTGTAAAATTTATTATTAAAATAAAATGCTTGTTTCCAGGCCGGGTGCGTTCATTTCTCTCCTATGTCATCGCCCCCGCAGTGCGACATCAAAGTGCTGATACTTCTGTACACTCCAGATAAGAAAGCCTATCTCGGTTTCATACCCAACAACCAGGCGACCTTCGTTGACAGACTTCGAAAAGTAAGTTTATATTATTTATAGATTTTTTCAAAACTTATTAATACTTGTCATGTCATAATAGGTATTGTACACGCCCCTAGCTGCCCTGACAAAGGTCGACCATACAGGAGCCCATACAGCTGTAGATTCGACGGACAAATAAGGGTGGGGCCCAACGGCCTATGGAGACTTATTATTCTACACAATAGATATAAGGCTAGGTAATTAATAAGAACGTACCTGGTTCCGAAGCTAAGACTGACCCCAAAGCTCGGTCAGGCGGTAGGTAGGTGCATGTAAGTAGTGTGTTAGAAGGTGTGTATGTGTGACCTAACCTAACTGAGGTGATCGGGCAGCGGCCTGGTCCGATGCTGCCCCACGATGTGGTATTACTCCAGCGGACGTCACCAATTGACAATGGTAGCTTTCACTTCACTATTTCAGTCTATCAACTTTATTGTACATACTCGTATAATTAACTTCAAAGTAAACGAATTCAACGTTCATCGAAATCAAACACGTGACACCCGACACAAGTAACGAACAGTCGTTCAAGGTTCAATATTCCGGATTCATTTAGCACCAAATTACAAACAGGGAACGAACGCGATCTCTTCTCGAGTCACAAAGTTCAGCGTTCCAAACAACAAACTAAATTCCTTCGTACGATATTAAATACTACGCCCGCAATAAGAACTCAAAATCAGTCTAGCTGACACGCAAACTAACTCACACCATCGGGTGATGCGCTTAGTCAAACGCGATTGGATGGCGTTTCAAAATGCCCATGTTTGGGCCTAAACAGGTATATTAAAAAAATTTAATGTAAATATACGCTAGTCGTTGCCAACGTAAGTAAACCACTTTATTTATTTCCGTAGCTATCGTATTAGTCATAAGAAGAATCCAGTAAAGGGGTGTCATGGAATTGTGAGGACGAAATTGCAGTTTTTTTGTAGGATAGGGTGACAAGCGAGCACACAGTCTACCTGATGGTAAGTGGTTGCTGCGGCCTATAGACATCTACATCTATCCTCAATAAATAATCAAAACAGATGCGTTGTCAGCCGTGAGGACTAAGATGGAATGCCTCTTTTCCAGTAAAAAGGGTCTTCGGTTAATTAAGTTCTTTATAAAAGAAAATTACGGATTTTGTGTTGAGTGTATGTACCTCAGAGCAACAAAAAAGATAGATGGAGCGCTTCGTACATCTTTCTTATTTCTTTCTTTAACACATTCCAGTATAAGTTCATTGCTGGAGCACACATGCACATCCATTACAGCCTATAAAAGTCCACTGCTGAACATAGACCTCCCCCATAGATTACCTCATAGGGGGGATTTTGCCATAGTTGCCACGCTTGGCATAGGGGCTGGCAACCATATTGTTAGTTACAAATGATTTTAGATGCATACTGCATCAATAGAAATGTACGCAACGCTCCGTCATTCTTCCTTTGATAGTCTGAGGAGCGTATAAATTATATCCATGTTATAGAAATATTGGCATTGATAACCGGAACATTTAGTTGGGAATATTTTATTTTAAATTACCGTGTTTTATTTCACGAATATTCAGCCCAGGCTATTTTTACAGGTAATCCAGCAACAGAAAATCACACAGATAATTAATAAACAGATGCCCGCAGCAGTGAGTGCTGCTGGTGCGATGGGCGGGAATATGAGCACAGCGACCATGGCCGGTGAGAGCCAATTTTATGTTACAACAATGAATTTTAAATAATTTTCTGTTTTGTCTTTTTAAATAATTAAATGTACCCACGCCCGGCACATAAGTTGAGACCTAGCAAACAGTTGCAGTGGAGAGGACCGCGCAGAAGTCTCCTTACGCCTTAAAAAAAGTAAGTGTTCATATCTGTGTATAGCTATATGCTATGCTCGGAGTTCCTTTGCGTTATACAATCCGTAATAAAGATATCATCAGTGAGAAGTCAAATCTTTTAATTTATTTACAGTTTTTGAACTTTAAAAAAGTGTAATTAATTTTTTTGTGTTTTCTTTTCGTTGTGTATAAATAAAACAAATTTTTGAGACTATCTGATAATTTAAAATCCGTAAAGACTTACGCATAATTTTGACTTAATTAATTAATTCATCAAAATACCACCATAAGGCCTCTGCTGAACTTAGAACTTCTCTATAGATTGCTTCATGGTGAATTTTTCCATAGTTGCCACTGTAATGTGATCAAAATAATGTAAGCTAGAAAACGGTCCCACGGGTGTGTAAAGCCGAACACACTTCCACGAACGTGTTAAATTCATCTTACGCGGCACTCCCAGTCCGTGGACATTATATTTTCTGCCAATATACCTTGGACCGTCTTAGGTGAAACATGTATTTCATTTTAAACGCCTAAAAACTTACATTAAAACATGGCGACCATGCCAGGATTCGAACCTGGAATCTTGACAGGCTCAGAAATATTCTGCTGCCCATGTCCTATTTCATTTTTAAGAAATGGGGTAGTAGATTTTCTTACGCCACACTACACGGCGAAGTTTAAAACTATAAAAAAATATAGTGCATTGAATAGCTAATCAAAAGATAGGAATGATTATATTCGCACTAGAACCACAATAATTGACATAGCACAATGGATAAGTAAAATCGACAACCAATGGGGAAAGGAAGGGAACGTTCTTGAGGGACAGTCTCGTACTAGAACGAAGTGTAGAAGGCCCCCGACTTGATTGACTGGCGACAAGGAAGGCCTATGTTCAGCAGTGGAATTGTTAAGGGTTATAATTATTAGTATTTAATATGATAATATATAATTTTAATATATTATAATTCAACTGCAGCTATAATACAGTTGCAAGGCGGTAAAAAAATTAATTATTTTAGTATGTTCTGTGATATATTAGAAATTATATTACAGGTGCAGGTGGGATGCAGTCTGGAGGTATGGGCGGCGCGGGTGCGCTGGGCGGCGCGCTGCAGGGCGTGGGCGTGGGCGTGGGGCAGATGGCCGTGCCCGGGCCCAGCCAGGGCATGGTGCAGCCGCAGATGCAACAACACAATCAGGTCACATAATGTGCGCTGGCCAGCGGGCTGCAGGGCATGGACGTGGGCGTGGGGCAGATGGCCGTGCCCGGGCCCAGCCAGGGCATGGTGCAGCCGCAGATGCAACAACACAATCAGGTCACATAATGTGCGCTGGCCAGCGGGCTGCAGGGCATGGACGTGGGCGTGGGGCAGATGGCCGTGCCCGGGCCCAGCCAGGGCATGGTGCAGCCGCAGATGCAACAACACAATCAGGTCACATAATGTGCGCTGGCCAGCGGGCTGCAGGGCATGGACGTGGGCGTGGGGCAGATGGCCGTGCCCGGGCCCAGCCAGGGCATGGTGCAGCCGCAGATGCAACAACACAATCAGGTCACATAATGTGCGCTGGCCAGCGGGCTGCAGGGCATGGACGTGGGCGTGGGGCAGATGGCCGTGCCAGGGCCCAGCCAGGGCATGGTGCAGCCGTAGATGCAACAACACAATCAGGTCACATAATGTGCGCTGGCCAGCGGGCTGCAGGGCATGGACGTGGGCGTGGGGCAGATGGCTGTGCCCGGGCCCAGCCAGGGCATGGTGCAGCCGCAGATGCAACAACACAATCAGGTCACATAATGTGCGCTGGCCAGCGGGCTGCAGGGCATGGACGTGGGCGTGGGGCAGATGGCCGTGCCCGGGCCCAGCCAGGGCATGGTGGGCATATCATCTCGTGGGTGCCGCTTAAGATATAACAGGGAGAAATGAAACTGGGGATGGAGCGGCAGCATCTTACTGATCTCAAAATGATAAAAACTGCGGCTGGCAAGCCCGTCTTCCAAGCATCGCAACTATGACATTAATTATTCTCTATCAGGCAATCTATTGGAAGGGATATGTTCATCAGTGGACTTTAGATAGTTTTTTCATTGTTTGCTGATACTGGAAATTTACGATGCCTAAGAGCACATACGCAATACTACGTGTGACCCATATTCTGCGGTACTAAACTTGCAATTACATAACGAATTGCAGATAAGGAGGCCAATATTTTTGTCCAAGTTGTATTATGGCTTGCAGTAATACTATGAAGACTAATAATATTCCGCTCACCAGATGTCGCTAGTTAGAACTGAGGTGAACTCTTTATCTGACCATCTGGGTCATAGAGTTATTCTCATTCGAATGTTTTAGTTTAATTTATGTATAATGTATATTGTTTATACATAAAACAATGCCTGAGTGATGTGGTTTCTTTATGTTTTACACATTTTAATTTTTTTTAAGTCTTCCAGTTTTAGGAATATCCGTAGTTTGTTTCCATTTCTTATCTAATCAATACAAAATGTTAGTAATAAATCAGAAATTGATATTAATCTTTAAATTATTCTTAACATCCCCACTGTGAGTTCTCTCAAAATATTTCACATCATTCTAAAGGGGCGCCGCCCTGGTAAAAGTCTTGGAAGCCCTTATTCCCCTAACACAAACAAGTTGTTGGATTTTGACGAATATATTTCCATAGTGTTATCGTTTGTTTTTGCTTTAAAATGATAATTTGCTTGTTTCTTTTTTTAGAATATGATGATGGGAAACAGTATGGGTGGACAAGTTGGCGGCGTTGCGGGCGTTGGAGGAGTTGGCGTGGGCGGCAAAGGTCCCAGACCTGTTACACAGCTGGACGGCCTGGAGGCTGCACGACAACAAAACCTCGAGAAAATACAGCATCTGCAACAAACTTTGGAGGCGGCGCACCAGCAAGAGGCACAGTTCAAGTCGCAGATGGACATCATGTCGCATTTGCATGCCGCTCAACAACAGGAGCAGCACTATAAACAGTTGGAGGTAATATTTATTTCCAGTAGTACTAATACCTCGCATTGCGGTAGCACGATAAACTTTTCTAGTAAAAAGTCCTGGTTCTCTACAGTCTACAATCACCATACGAAACATAGCAGCATAAAGCTGCTATTCTATGCTGGTATCCTGTGAATGTGTTGAAAGAAGCATAAATAGATTGAACCGGACTCTTAGCAAGTGTATTATATAAATTTATAGAACTGTGTGTATTTAATCATTGTGAAGACCTGATTTAGTATATTGATGGTTCTATAGAAAGAATTAAAAGGGGAGCGCAACTATAAGCAATTTCTTTACACTATTTGCAAAACGTATTACAGCTAATTAGCACTGAGAGACTTCTTGTTGTTAACTATGCCGCGAATCTCCTCCACCGGCCGAATGTCCGCCTTTATTCTCGCGGCGGGCGTCTAAAACGGCCGACGTACTCCCCGTGATAGGTCGCGACGCATTGTAAGCTGTCGTTGCGAACGGTATAAGCGAGGGCGACAGGGGATGGCCGTCTGCAGCATGGGATAAATAAATAATAGTTCAAAAAACACGCTTTTGTAGATAACAGAACTAAAAAGTAGAAAATAATTTTCAATAACTTTAAAATAAGAAAATAGTGATAGTCTAAGACCCGGTTTAAAAATATACCCCCCTCATTCTTTTCCTTAATAAAATATTTTTTTTTTATAATAAAATATATAAATAAATACAGATCGGGCCTTTGTTTTGGCAAGGCTATTTTTAATTAAATATTATTTAATTTTTTTACCGGTTACGGTCATTCTTTTCCTTGATAAGATTGGTCTCAGTCGAAAAAAAAATATAGAAAATGACACAGAATGGTACCTTTTCCATGCAACAATACCTGCCTACCAGGTGTGAAAAGGTAAACTGATGTAGTAATTTACCATCATTCTTTTTCCTAAAAAAAAAATGTGCAAATATAGATAATATTTTTATTGCGCATCCAATGATATATGGTTGACTTCAAATCATGGCAAGTCTAGTGATTGACACGACTTAACGTTTCAATAATTTTAGAGAACAATGTATATATTATGTGCAGTAGGAAAGGATGCACGATAGCAGCTGCGCGTGAAACCCTTACCGGAAAAGAGAACGGCGCGTGTTCAATCCTCTGTGTAATAGAGAAAGATAAATATATTCTCCCAACGAAAATTATTATACTGGAGTAATGGTGGTTAATATAGCATCATATTATAGCGCGCTATCTTTCAATAGCGCACAGTGCGTGCTATGTTAGTAGCCGCCATGGCGCTATGGCGCATTGGCGCTATGTATATCTAGCAGCAGCGCTAGCATGTGACTCGCGTGCGCGCTGTTGGGAGTGGACGTATGACGCAAATTGACGTTGAAATTATTGATAGTTTTTGTTTCTTACATCTTATTGGATCTTCCATGAAAGAATAACGGGGCATTTTTTTGAGTCGGATCCTCTACTATGATTAACATTAAAAAAAAACATTTTATTGTAAAAAAGCGTGGGGTGCTTTTTCAGATATTTTTTGATGACGCAAATTTTACAAATATCCACAAAAATGTTTACAAGAAATGACATAAACACCCCACGGTTTTTACAATAAAATTATTTTTTTATGTTAATCTATAGTGTTATCAGGCCTGGGCTGAGGCTTCGGTAGCTCATGATGTAAATACCAGCATGCTTAAAAAGAAGTATGACTTCGCCTCCAGGTCCTTCAAAAGAGTTATTGCCAAGGCAAAGTATGAGCACGTTAGCAGAATTGGCGTGACGGGAACCCGTGCATTCTGGTCTCTCGCCAAGGCTGTTCAAAGGAATTTCTGTAGGCCATCACTACCATCTCTGCACAGGGAGGACGACTCATTTGCCCACGCCGCAAAAGAGAAAGCCGACCTTTTAGGCTCCCTTTTTGCGTCCAACTCGTCTCTCGATGACGGGGACAACATACCGCAGTGTGAGTACTCTATGCCTGATGTGCGATCCACACCGTGCTCACTACGCAAAGCACTCCTCTCCCTGGATATACACAAGTCGAGGGGGCCTGGCGGAATCTCGTCAATTGTGCCGAGGACGTGCGCTCCAGAATTGACACCGGTTCGAATGCGTTTTTTCCGGTACTCCTACTCCCTAGGCGTTGTCGCGAATTCATGGAAGACAGCTTTCGTGCACCCGATCCCTAAAAAAGGTAACTGCTCTGATTCGTCCAATTACAGGCCTATCGCCATCACCTTGTTCTCGAAAATAATAGAGTACGTTATTAACTGCCAGCTCATGCGGTACCTAGAGGAGCACCAACTGATCAGCTAGTGATCTTCTTGTTTACTAACACATAGATGGGCGCAGGCGATCCAGTCCAAGGGGGAGGCATTGGTCGTTAGTTTGGACATAGCGAAGGCCTTCAAACGGGTCTGGCACAAAGCGCTTCTTTCGAAGCTTCCTTTCTTTGGACTTCCCGAGAAATTGTGCAACTGGATCACCAGTTTTCTGGCTGATCGGAGTATCAAAGTCGTAGTAAACGGTGCATGCTCCGATTACAAGTCTATTAACGCTGGTGTTTCACAAGGCTGCATGCTATCACCAACGCTGTTTCTTTTGCATATCAATGATATGTTTGAAACCGGTAACATTCACTGCTATACGGATGACAGCACTGGTGATGCTCTATACACCGGCCGTGCCAATATTTCTCGGGAAAAAGTCGCCGAGCACCGGAACAAACTTGTGTCTGAAGTCGAGTTTTTGCTGAACAAAAGCTCGGATTGGGGGCGACTAAATCTAATCCAATTTAATCCTCAGAAGATAAAAGTTTGCGCGTTTACCGCTAAAAAGAACCCCTTTGTCGTAATTCTTTAGTTCCGAGGCACTCCTCTTATTGCCACAGCCAGTCTCGGAATCCTCGGCGTCGACATATCGAGTGACGTGCAGTTTCCTGGTCACTTTCACAGGTTCGGCCTCACATGGAATACTCTTCCCATCTCTGGGCTGGGGCTCTCCAGTGCCTGCTCCTTCCACTTGACCGCATCCAGCGCAGAGCGGCTCGAATCGTCGACGACCGAGTCCTTTCCGATCGGCTCGATTCACTAAATATACGATAAAATACGCAAAGAAATGTAACATCCACGGGGAGTATTCCGAGGAATTGTTCGGACTAATTCCAGCCACTCAACTTCACCATCGCACATCGCGACAAAACTTGCAATACCATCCATACCATCTGGATGATTAGCGGTCCACCACCGTGCGATTTAGAAGATGTTTTCTTCCTCACACAACCTTCTTGTGGAATCGATTACCACCAGCGATTTTTACGGACCGATACGATTTATGGAAAAGAAGAAAAGTTTCAAGAAAAGAGCATACTCCTTTTTAAAAGGCCGGCAACGCATCTGCAATTGCCCTGGTGTTGCAGTTGTTCATGGGCGGTGGTAGTCACATACCATCAGGTGAGCCGCATGCTCGTTTGCCCTCTCTCCTATAAAAAAAAAATCACTATTTTCTTATTTTAAACTTATCGAAAATTATTTTCTACTTTTTAGTTCTGTATTTTACAATAGGGTGTTTTTATAGTTTTTTAAAACTATTATTTATTTCCTATCTTTTAGTGCGGCTAACTACAAAAGTGTGTTTGTTTTTTGTGTTTTTTTTTGGAACGAAGTTCTTTACGCGACTTACAGTAGATTGAATTGGCATAAAACGTAGTTGTTGTATGAATTTTTCGCAAATCCTGAGGATTCTGGCAAGGATAATGGGACAAACTATTTAAATTATTGCATTGTCATCGGCCCTTGATAAGTGTGCGAAGTTTCAAATCAATCCGCCGTTTTGAATGGGATGAAAATCACATTCAAAAGTTCCGTTACATAGATACATACCAAGCTAATTAAAGCGTGTTAATAAATAAAGATGATAGAGTGAGAAGAGTGATCTCATTTTGCAGGAGCAGCAGCGCAAGCAGCAGCTGCAGCAGCAGTTGCAGCAGCAGCTGCGCGGCGCGCCCGGACACCCGCCGCGCGTCATGCACACGCTCAACCAGGGCCTGCGCAACCTGCTGCAGCAGGTAACGTGCACACACACGCACGCACACACATACATGTACACCCGCCGCGCGTCATGCACACGCTCAACCAGGGCCTGCGCAACCTGCTGCAGCAGGTAACGTGCACACACACGCACGCACACACACACATGTACACCCGCCGCGCGTCATGCACACGCTCAACCAGGGCCTGCGCAACCTGCTGCAGCAGGTAACGTGCACACACACGCACGCACACACACACATGTACACCCGCCGCGCGTCATGCACACGCTCAACCAGGGCCTGCGCAACCTGCTGCAGCAGGTAACGTGCACACACACGCACGCACACACACACACATGTACACCCGCCGCGCGTCATGCACACGCTCAACCAGGGCCTGCGCAACCTGCTGCAGCAGGTAACGTGCACACACACGCACGCACACACATACATGTACACCCGCCGCGCGTCATGCACACGCTCAACCAGGGCCTGCGCAACCTGCTGCAGCAGGTAACGTGCACACACACGCACGCACACACACACATGTACACCCGCCGCGCGTCATGCACACGCTCAACCAGGGCCTGCGCAACCTGCTGCAGCAGGTAACGTGCACACACACGCACGCACACACACACACATGTACACCCGCCGCGCGTCATGCACACGCTCAACCAGGGCCTGCGCAACCTGCTGCAGCAGGTAACGTGCACACACACGCACGCACACACACACACATGTACACCCGCCGCGCGTCATGCACACGCTCAACCAGGGCCTGCGCAACCTGCTGCAGCAGGTAACGTGCACACACACGCACGCACACACATACATGTACACCCGCCGCGCGTCATGCACACGCTCAACCAGGGCCTGCGCAACCTGCTGCAGCAGGTAACGTGCACACACACGCACGCACACACACACATGTACACCCGCCGCGCGTCATGCACACGCTCAACCAGGGCCTGCGCAACCTGCTGCAGCAGGTAACGTGCACACACACGCACGCACACACACACACATGTACACCCGCCGCGCGTCATGCACACGCTCAACCAGGGCCTGCGCAACCTGCTGCAGCAGGTAACGTGCACACACACGCACGCACACACACACATGTACACCCGCCGCGCGTCATGCACACGCTCAACCAGGGCCTGCGCAACCTGCTGCAGCAGGTAACGTGCACACACACGCACGCACACACACACATGTACACCCGCCGCGCGTCATGCACACGCTCAACCAGGGCCTGCGCAACCTGCTGCAGCAGGTAACGTGCACACACACGCACGCACACACATACATGTACACCCGCCGCGCGTTATGCACACGCTCAACCAGGGCCTGCGCAACCTGCTGCAGCAGGTAACGTGCACACACACGCACGCACACACACACACATGTACACCCGCCGCGCGTCATGCACACGCTCAACCAGGGCCTGCGCAACCTGCTGCAGCAGGTAACGTGCACACACACGCACGCACACACACACATGTACACCCGCCGCGCGTCATGCACACGCTCAACCAGGGCCTGCGCAACCTGCTGCAGCAGGTAACGTGCACACACACGCACGCACACACATACATGTACACCCGCCGCGCGTTATGCACACGCTCAACCAGGGCCTGCGCAACCTGCTGCAGCAGGTAACGTGCACACACACGCACGCACACACACACACATGTACACCCGCCGCGCGTCATGCACACGCTCAACCAGGGCCTGCGCAACCTGCTGCAGCAGGTAACGTGCACACACACGCACGCACACACACACACATGTACACCCGCCGCGCGTCATGCACACGCTCAACCAGGGCCTGCGCAACCTGCTGCAGCAGGTAACGTGCACACACACGCACGCACACACACACATGTACACCCGCCGCGCGTCATGCACACGCTCAACCAGGGCCTGCGCAACCTGCTGCAGCAGGTAACGTGCACACACACGCACGCACACACATACATGTACACCCGCCGCGCGTTATGCACACGCTCAACCAGGGCCTGCGCAACCTGCTGCAGCAGGTAACGTGCACACACACGCACGCACACACACACACATGTACACCCGCCGCGCGTCATGCACACGCTCAACCAGGGCCTGCGCAACCTGCTGCAGCAGGTAACGTGCACACACACGCACGCACACACACACATGTACACCCGCCGCGCGTCATGCACACGCTCAACCAGGGCCTGCGCAACCTGCTGCAGCAGGTAACGTGCACACACACGCACGCACACACATACATGTACACCCGCCGCGCGTTATGCACACGCTCAACCAGGGCCTGCGCAACCTGCTGCAGCAGGTAACGTGCACACACACGCACGCACACACACACACATGTACACCCGCCGCGCGTCATGCACACGCTCAACCAGGGCCTGCGCAACCTGCTGCAGCAGGTAACGTGCACACACACGCACGCACACACACACATGTACACCCGCCGCGCGTCATGCACACGCTCAACCAGGGCCTGCGCAACCTGCTGCAGCAGGTAACCTGCACACACACGCACGCACACACACACATGTACACCCGCCGCGCGTCATGCACACGCTCAACCAGGGCCTGCGCAACCTGCTGCAGCAGGTAACCTGCACACACACGCACGCACACACACACACACACATGTACACCCGTCGCGCGTCATGCACACGCTCAACCAGGGCCTGCGCAACCTGCTGCAGCAGGTAACGTGCACACACACGCACGCACACACACACATGTACACCCGCCGCGCGTCATGCACACGCTCAACCAGGGCCTGCGCAACCTGCTGCAGCAGGTAACCTGCACACACACGCACGCACACACACACATGTACACCCGCCGCGCGTCATGCACACGCTCAACCAGGGCCTGCGCAACCTGCTGCAGCAGGTAACGTGCACACACACGAACGCACACACACACATGTACACCCGCCGCGCGTCATGCACACGCTCAACCAGGGCCTGCGCAACCTGCTGCAGCAGGTAACCTGCACACACACACACGCACGCACACACACACACATGTACACCCGCCGCGCGTCATGCACACGCTCAACCAGTGCCTGCGCAACCTGCTGCAGCAGGTAACCTGCACACACACGCACGCACACACACAATACAAACACACTCACGTTCACATCTACACTACACCCCGCATACACATTATGCTCGCATGCCGGGATTTCCAAAACAATTGTCATAAAGCCGACATTCAAGAAAACTACGAGAACGCATTCGGTATGCGGGAGAATTCAAAAACATTTCCATATGGAACTTACAGATTATGCGAGGTCCTACAATACATCTACAGTTGCTTAGAGTGTGTGTAATCTATCAAAATAACGCGTGACTGAGGTTTTTTAATAGAATAACGGTGGCAAACGAGCACACAATACATCTGATGGTAAGTGGATGATAAGGCATATAGACATCTACACCCACCATCCATTTAATGACGCAGCTATGTATAGCTAGTATACCTGCAGCGTGAATACCATCTAAAAAGAATGAACACGAGAGGTGAAAAAAGAGTAGATTTCATTATTGTGTGCGGGAAATTCATAAGTCGTTACCACGGCTGCGGGAAGTCTCCGTATAGTATATCGATTGCTTTATTAAAATACAATAGAATAAATAGAGGCACAGAATTATTAAATATTGATCTGCTAATTAGACTAGTCGTTATCTCGCTTATCAACCGAGTTATCAACCAATCAAAATAAGTTATTCATTGCCACATACAGTAACGGTATCATGCAGTGTCTCTCACACGCTCTCTCTCTCTCTCTCTCTCTCACACACACACACACACACACACACACACACACACACACACACACACACACACACACACACACACAAAGTAAACCCAAAAAATGTTGTATTAGTCTTTTATAAATTTCAGTGCTAATTTTTCACTATGGTCTTGTACATATGGGTAGTTGATACGCATGCCAATTGAAATATTTTTACCGCGAAATGACAACACACTTTTTTTCAATAATATAAACCTAAATTTTATTTACTTATTACTCGTCAACTTCTACTATTAAACGTATCCGATTAAAATTATACTATGGAGTAATTTATCATTGGTCGTGTCATCTACCCCAATATAAAATGGCATTATTTTAAATTGTATATAATAGATTACGCCAATAAATATATATCATATATCACATACTTATGTATCATTCATTTGGATAGCTTTTTATTTGAACATACTTAAACCAATGTGTAAGATTCCGTTCGACTCCACGACAGAAGTCGAGTGGAGTGGTTCTACTAACTCCTAAGACAAGCTTTTAAGATTACCAAAAGTAGTTAAAAGGAATATTAGTAATATTAATAACAATGCTATGCTAGAATAATTTTTTTTTTGCTTTTAGTTGATATCGTTTTCTTTGTCAATTTATTAAGATGATTATTGTTCGGGTATTGGACGAATGTTCAATAATAATTTAAATTTTATGTTAAAACAGTTTAATAAACAAGTAAAAAATATAGGATTAAAATACGAGTATATAGAATAATGCTAATTGTTAATGTTATAATGTTATGTTAATGAGTTCGCGTCCATCGCGGTTACGGTGAAAACGTGAACTAACTCAATTTTTGTAATTGTCAAACACCGCAATGCAATGGCTATGCTTTGCGTAAAATGTTAACACCAGCAGAAATGTACGGTTGGACCGTACAATTATTTTAATTCTATTTTTGTCCATTGATTCCTATGATTTAAGTATGTTCAGTTAAGCTTGCTAACTTCAATTGTAAATAATTTAATAAACTAATTTCATTTCCATACCATGATTAGCTAGCTAATCCACGGCTATCTTTTTGCTCTGCTTACAACAAAGCTTGTCTTAATCCAAATGAGTTTTTATTTTCAGAAATTCTAAACGCAATGAGTATACCTGCGTTTGTTCAGTACACTTTAATAGTCTATATTATCGGTATCGGAATAAATTTCAACAATACGCTCAGGTCTGCTTAATTTAGACGTTTTAACGGGTATAACAAGACCTGCTGGCTCAATCATCATCATCAGATTAGTTCAGTTAATTGCTCAAATCCTCCGTTATGTCTTCTTTACGTTGCCTTAAAACATCTACCGTAACGTCCTAATTAAGTCAGCTGAGGCTACTAACAAGCAGTGCGATTGTGTAACTCTAGTGAGAATCGTAGTTGCCTTGATTTTAACTTTGATGTTTGGTTTCGTTGTATTGTGATAATGTCGAATTTGATTCTAACTGATGTTGTTTCGAACCCGATTTTAAAAGCTTACTTCCGAATCAATTTGAATTGAGAAACATGATCGAACTCAATTTTTAATAATTTAAAAATTTACTTCTTTAAATATCCATGTATAGGGCAAACATATCAAGGAAACGTATTCGACGACGAGCGCTATCTAGCGGCGGACAGGTGAACATACGTCTCCTTGATTGCCTCATAGGGGGATATATGCTATAGTTTCTACGTTTGGTTGGCGAATCGGCAACCGAAGATCTTTTTTTTATTAAAGTGAAAGCTTAGAATCGTGATTTGAAACTCAATTTTTTAAGACAAAAAGAAAAGAAAAAAATCGGCTCACGACAGGTAAAGTTGAGTCTATCAAGTAGCTTACCTTAGCCTGATTTAATCTAATGATGAAAAGTGGGTCAGTGGGACCCTATTGGTCATCTTAACCTACTGACTTGGTCAGCCGAGTGTACTGACTGACCAGGCATCTTAAACCCGCTTGAGTTAGCTCAGCTTACTAAATAATTATAATCTGGTCAATGGGTCTGTTGAGCCTGCCCAGTTCACAAATCGGATCAGTGAAGCTGACGAGTCATCTGAGCTTGTTAATCGGATCGACTGAGCATACTGAGCAGGTCAGCTGAGCAATGCTCTAGTGTGTGGGCTCAGTGCGGCGTATGTTTCTAGCAGCAGCAAGCGCCGCGCGGAGGCCGCCCCCACATGTGACCGCCGCCACTCCGCCTTCATATCCTCGCACGCATAAGTAATGCTTCAAACACCTATCTGCCGACCGTGAATGTTTGGGAATGGCTACTTATCAAAATAATCACTTCTCTCAAATTTACAATTGCTATAAATGATTTAAAAGTTTGTTGATTAAGCTACACTTAGTACAAACTCAAAAATGTATTTTTCGTATGCTTTTAAGGATACTTCTGGTAGAGTCTAGTGGTCGAAATTCGACCGTAATACATATTTTTTTAAGTTTGTATACTAAGCAAGATGTATTTAACTTTCATCTACACATTAAAATAAATATCTCGTATATAAATATAAAATAAATTTCTTTTAGCCTTGATATACCCTCCACAGACATTTAAAATCACACAAAATTATGTAGTTATAACTTGTGGGAAACAATGACAATCTCTACTCTGTGCACCTTTTTGACTACAGTCTATTATGTGTTTGACATTGGCAGTATTAACAAAAACAATTTTTTATTGAAATTAATTTAACGTATTTGTAACACATATAATTAAATTTTAGCCATTCACAAACATTCATTACTTTTGCACTAACTTGTGACATCGAACTTATTACATTTCTTGATTTAAATGACACTAATTTTACAGATATTTTCGTTAAAAATAAGAACGTTATAAAATTAGTTTTATTTATAAAAAAAAAATATTACATTTCTTTTTCGCTCATATTATTTACATCACGTTATTGACTTTGAATTTTTTAGAACCTATGAAATGTAATATAGGACGATGTGTTATCATTTTCATCAACCGTTTCTTTGATCATCTAATTAGCTCTCTTATAATGGTATAATCACGAGTGTAAGTCGTTCTAAACTTAAAAATTTTTATTTTTAAAACCATCGAATAACATGTACTTGAAATTTATGTGTACAAGTAACCCTCGTGTTTATATCTATTAAAATATTGATGATGAAGTAATTGCTGACATTTTTTAAATAAAATATATTTCGTCAAGGTTCCGCAATGCAATTAAGCTACAGAGTTTGTCATACGTTTGATCGAAAGTATCTTTCTATGTCCACACTACATGTCTTCCATAATTAGTGTAATATTTTCAGTCTACGAGATAACCCGACATAACCTGACTGCTTTCGCACAGGGCAGCCGGAATATCCAAGGGAGAATTATAAAGAAATGAATAAACAATATTTTCTTATAAATGGCAACAAATTTAAAAAATGTTTGCAATTAAAATATGTAACTAATGTAAACTGAAATATTTACAATATTGTAAAAAGATTTTGTTACTTAGCCTTAGACTGATTCTGTTGTAAATATTTCTTGTCGTCTTCTATGACACCACTAATCTGCATGTTTTTTTTACTTATTAATAAAAAAATCATCCTCACTTTATAATCATTTTTTTACGATTCATGCTTCCAGTTTCTAAATAATTTTATAAAGCTTTGTCCTCATTACGCTTTACTAATTCTGAGTATGATTTATCTACTACTTAAAATTTTATTACCAAAAAAGAAACCTTAAAAGTTAACTTAACTTAATTTTGTCTATTAACTTTATTTTGATTGTATTTTATTGAATGAACTGAATTATATATTTCACTTTAATCAATAACATACAAGTAAGTAGGTACAGTAAAATGAAAGTAGTAAAGTTCAGTTTCCTATGAGCTAAACAAAATTAAATTATTGTGTTATGAAATAGTTTTAAAAAGTGTTTACAAAAGAAAATAATCTAATTTCACTTTTTTATAAACATATTTGACGAAACTCATGTAAATATATGTGTTTACTAGCCTCAGTACAGGCCGCAGGGTGGCGCGGTGCGTCCGAGCTCGCAGACGCAGCAGTTCGACGACGTCTCCAACTACAATGACTTTCTATAAAAATTGACTGACGTATGTAAGCGACATTATTTAATAAGATTATTAATAAAGTTTTATTAATTTCTAATACTTTTTTTATTGTAATTTATTTAACATCATAAGAATTGTGTAGTGTAAATTTGCAATCATTAAGAATTTTTTAGATACTTTAATTCTATTGATTGGTACCATGCAGACAAATGTAAAAATAAACAGAACAAATTACAAATGGCATACGAAGAATAGAAGAGAATATACACGTTAAGCTTGGACAACCGACAACTGACGTGAAACAAGACGAAATAAATATAAATAAATAAAATGAGAACACCAATAATTTAGTTGAAAAATAAAGTACAAGTTATAAAATGGAAAATAATGAATTGAACCGAAGAAACGAATTTAGTTTAAAATTAAAAATAATTATTTGCATTTGGTATACAAAGGTAAAAAAACACTATTAAATAATACATTTTTTTAGCGACGACCCGTGCGCTAACTGCATTTTTTTTTATAGGATCGAGTGACAAACGAGCACACAGTCCAACTGATGGTAAGTGGTTGCTGTGGCTCATAGACATCTACATCTATCCTCGTTTGTGAATCAAAATGCAGATGCGTTGTCACTCGTGAGGACTAGAATGGAATGCCTCTTATCCAGTAAAAAGGGTCTCTGGTTGTCTACACTCACCATACGGATTACAGCAGTGTTAAGCTGCTATTTGCATTATGGTAGTCTATTAACTTTGTCAGACAAGTGGTAAAATAAATTAAATGATGTAGTTAAAAAATCATTTGAATTGGATTCCATTGGAGTTTCGACTTTACGACGCAAAAATAAGGCACATCTGAGAGCGGTACGTACACTTGACGAGACAGCGCGTCACATCGGTAATCAATGGGAGGTTGGCTTACCTCTCGTTAAGGACGAGTTTTCCATGCCGGACACGTATGACTACAGACTACAAGGTATGTTAAAAAAATGTTTAAATCAGCCAGTGATTACGCGGAAAGATATCGGAACGAGATGAAAAAGCACTTCGATCACGGCTACGCGAGGGAACTAAGAAAATTAATTCTCCACTACTGGCCACGTTTGGTACCTGTCACACTTTGGGGTTCAAAACCCTAACAAGCCCGGAAGGCTAAGGTTAGTATTTGACTGTGCGGGAAAGGTGAAAGGTGTTTGCCTAAATGATTACTTACTCACGGGTCCCGATTTGTATAATTATTTATTAGGTATTATGTTAAGATTACGTGAACACAAAATTGTTTTAATAGACGATATTAAGGATTTTTTTTGTTCCAAATAAAGTTCGTTTTGAAGATCAACTCGTGTTTCGATTTTTTTTTTGACAAGAAAGTGCAGAGGTGCCATTTAAAAAAAATGTACTGCAAAGTTTATTATTCGGCGCCACTTGTTCACATTTCATCGCACAATATATAAAAAATAAAAATGCTGCAGAATATCAGGATTTATATCCCGAAGCCGTCGATGTAATTAGTAATAATCATTATATAGACGATTGTTTACATCCATGCGACTCGGAAAGTCAGGCGATTCAATGACAGATAGACATAAGTCAGGTGGGTTCGAGATAACGCGTTGGACGAGCAATAGCAAACAGGTTTTGCAACCAATCCCCTCCGATGCGCTAGTGTCGACTGCTTTGGAATTCAAACATGGAGCTGCGAATATAACTGAGCACGAGAATGTGATGTGATTTGATGTGGTATCCGAACAACGATACGTTTGGATTAAAAAATTGCTCTTAACCCATTCAGTGCCTTGCCCGCCTATGGGCGGTCAAAACTTTTATTCACATGCTGAACCCGCCCATGGGCGGGCGGATTTCAAACCTTAATAAATATGCCAAATAACATGAAAAAATTATAAGTTTGTCTGATAACTCGTTTTATTATGATTGATTCGTTACCAAACCGGCCTGCGGATTTCTAAGATTTTAGAAAAGGACAATTCTGACCTGTCATGCCGACCCCGCTCATGGGCGGGCAGTACACGTATTCAGAATTAAATGTGAAGAAGTAAAATGTTAAAATTTTAATCAAAAACTATAAAATAAAGTATGTTTACATGTAGTGATAATAAAATATAAACGTCATTGTTCCTTGCACCTTATTATTAAAACTATATAACCGTAACCATATACAAGTTGTTACAAAAAAGTGGGTAATCCTTTTAGGGAGTGATTTTATTGCTCAAATACAACAACTTCTTCTATGGGACCTACATCGAAATCTCAAAAAAGTTGGCTTACTCATACTAAACCGCCGATCATCTGAGACAAGTTTGTGTGGAAAATTATTTTTTTTTCTTTGAGATTTCGATATAGTTCCCATAGAAGAAGTAGTTGTTTTTGAGCAATAGAATCACTTCCTAAGAGCATTACCCGCTTTTTGTAACACCTTCTAGATAAGGCAATATACTGTCGGTCACTAGGGAGCAAGATAAGAATGCAGATGATAATCTACATAAAAGGAGCCGATCGGTATTCGTCACTTTGAAAACGGGCAAAGTGCCGACACCTTTGTTTTGGTCATCGACTATATACAATTTTTCGGTATAATTTATGATTTAATTTTGGCTAATGACCTATTTCGAATTGTGGTTTAATACAGAAAGATCATAAACTGTCGGTAAATAGGAAACAAGATAAGAAAGCAAATCTGAACTTTTCTGGTCTTATCTGGTCCGTAATAGTCACTTTGAAAACAAAAGAAGTGCCGATACCTTTTGTTATGGACACCAATAATTTTACAACTTGCATGATTTAAGATTTAACGTAAGTAGCATGTTATAGAAAAAAATAGTCTACGGAAAAAAGCTTTCACTCGCATCTGACGTTCGTGGTTTTCACAACTTGAGTTTTGCTAAGCGTTTTGGAAGTTCGTTTGCTGTTTGACTTAGTGCATCGAAGGTAGACTCCTAGCTCTAGCTTGCTTCATATTTATTTATCCTTTGCCTAAGTCGTATCTGTGAACGAATATCGATTCGATCGATCGTTCACAGGTAGAAATTAATGCAAAAGAGGTAAGACGTGGGAAAAAAATTAAACATACAAAAAGGTTGACTACGCGTGACTTGAAAAAAAAAAGCCCTAAAATGTATGCTTTTATATTTCATTTTAGACTTCCTTGTACTAAGCTCGTGCTTAAATCTATCTTTTACGCAGATTAAGATACATTTGATTCGTCGTAAATTAGACATTAAAAATATCTCACGTTGAAATCTAAGGCCTCATGCCGAAACCGCCGATGGGCGGGCCAAAATACTTTATCGAGATGCCGGGCCCGCCGATGGGCGGGCTGAATAACAGTATAAAGCGGCATGAAGGTAATGTTGTTATTTCTTAGGAAGGCAGTGAATGGGTTAATAGAATTTCACCAGATGTTTTGAATGGGTTGGAATCACCTACAAAAGCGCAAATGTAAAGCATTATTATGTCAGTATATGATTTACACGGTTTTCTTTCACGTTTTATAATTAAAGGAAAAATTATTTTTCAGAACGTACGTCGTAGCGGACTTGAGTGGAATTGCCGCATCCAACCCCAAGAGCATGCTTTGTGGATCAGTTGGTTAAACGATTTACGTAGCTCACTTCGTATTCCACGGCACTGCTACAGTGCACATGAATGGGTTGAATGCTACTCGGGCGCTCAATGGAAAAATGTATGTAACTTGTCAACTGATAACCATATCTATGATCGCCACACTGTTGATAAACAAATGCATATTTTTGTGACGCTTCTTCAAAAGCGTATGCATCATCATCATCGTCATCATCATTACAGCCCTTCACAAGTCCACTGCTGAACATAGGCCTCCCCCAAAGAATGCCAAAAAGCACGGTCCTGAGCCACCTGCATCCATCGACTTCCTGCATGTCTTACCAGGTCGTCACTCCATCTCGTGGGGGGACGCCCTACACTTCGCCTACCGGTACGAGGCTGCCACTCGAGAACCTTTGTTCCCCATCGGTTGTCGGTTCTTCGAGCTATATGGCCGGCCCATTGCCACTTCAGCTTACTAATCCGTTGGGCTATGTCGGTTACTCTGGTTCTACTGCGGATATCCTCATTCCTAAGTTTATCACGCAGAGAAACTCCGAGGATAGCCCTCTCCATAGCTCGCTGAGCGACCTTGAGCTTCCTCATACGGCCAGCAGTGAAGGACCACGTCTCAGTTCCGTATGTCATCACTGGCAACACGCACTGGGTGTACAGTCTCGTTTCCAAGGTTTAAGGTATACCTGACGAGAAGATGTGCCGTAATTTCCCGAACGCTGCCCAACCGAGTTGAATCCGTCGATTGACCTCTCGGTCGAAGTTGGACTTATCTAGTCGGACTATTTGTCCCAGGTAAACATACTCGTCAACAACTTCGAGCTTAGTGTTCCCAACAACTACCGGCATAGGTGTGACATGGACATTAAACATGATCTTAGTTTTGTCCATGTTCATCTTAAGACCTATCCGTTGGGAAACACTATTGAGGTCATTGAGCATAGTGCTTAGGTCCTCCAGCGATTTTGCCATAAGGACTATATCGTCGGCAAATCGAAGGTGAGTGATGTACTCGCCATTGATGTTGATACCGTATCCTTTCCAGTCCAGAAGCTTGAAAACGTCTTCCAATGCAGCGGTGAAGAGTTTCGGGGATATGACGTCACCCTGTCATATACCTCTCTGCAATTGGATAGGTTTCGTACTCTGGTTCTGTACTCGGATAGCCATCGTAGCCCTACTGTACAAGCACTTCAACACTTCGATATACCGACAGTCAACTTGGCACCGCTGAAGGGACTGCAGCACCGCCCAAATTTCGACGGAATCAAGGGCTTTCTCATAGTCCACATACGCCAGACATAGTGGCAAATTGTACTCTTCGGACTTCTGTACAATTTGCCGAAGGGTATGTATGTGGTCTATGGTGCTAAAGCCCTTTCGGAAACCGGCTTGTTCGGGAGGCTGGAATTCGTCAAGTCTGCGCGCGAGACG